ATGATCTTGCTAGACGTTTCTTTCTTTGTTGTTACATTGTATGTGGTTTTGAAAACTGCATCAAATTGTTTTGGAGCAAGACAAGGTGCAAACAGGTTATGAGAAAAATATTGCATCCCATCATGGACTCTCAGCCAGGAAGAGCCGTCAGTATCAGCAGGGAGCTTTGGGATCTGAGCCAGGCAGCCACGGGTTTGCGTCCTGAGCCCTCCTCACGCTTTAACCATGACCTCGGGAGGAAGTGCTTCACCCAGTGAGCCTCGTTTTCTTCCCCTGTAAAGTGGCGACAGTAATGGCTGTGCTGCTACAACCGAGTCGCCCCTGAAGGGAAGTTGCCCTGCTGTCGGTACAGGGCTGAGTGTATGGCAGTTTCTACAATCGTCCTCCAGGGCTGTGTGAGAGCTTGCTGGGCGTGAAGCCCTAGGGGAATAGAAGCGGTGGTCCCTGATGCTACACGGAGGACCCACGATGATGGTGCATGAAATAATTAGGGCCCAGCCCAACATGGCATGTGAGCTAGAGGAAGACCAAGGGTGCGTGGGGTGACCCCAAGGGCTGGCTGTGGCCATCAGAGGGAGAAGATGTTGCGGAAGGAGGCAAGAGTGATTAATCCAGTTTGCAGAGACGGGTGCAGCCACTGCAGAGAAGGGAAGAGAACTCTGAGTAGGTCTCTTCTGGTTGAACGAGAAAGGGTTAAAGCCCGCCCCATGCCCTGGCCCTCTGGCATGAGGAAAGGGTGGACCACTGGCCAGTCGGGAGCCCTCCGCACAGCCCGAGCTGCCAGTGTCTTGGGAGTGACCCCAGAGGTGGTGGAGGGCTCGGCTGCTCCACCCCAACCCTGGGCAAGAGCCGCTCCTTCCATCCTCCCACGGGGTTGGCTCTCTTGGCCTGGGGCCAGCTCCCCGCTGGGCTGGACCCCCTGGTGCTACTCTCAGCCTGATCAAAACCACACTTTAAGGTGATGGAAAAAACGTGTTCATCTGATTACACTCACAGAAATGGTAGGTCAAGCGTCTCCTGGGGAACACGGCCCATGTGCCCGCACACTCACACACACACACACACGTGCACTGGCTCTCAGGGCCTCGTGTTGTAACAAGGAAGAAGGAAATCTGAGCAAAACATTTCTCGCTCAAGGAACTAGCTGGAGAGTCAGCGACAGCTTTGTGGAGGCCATCAATCGCGGTTTCCCCCTTCACTGGTCACGCACAAGAAGTCCATTATGGCCGCACTGCTCTTAAACTCTGGTAACACCAGTGGCACTTTTGTTTTCTTTGGTTTGGCTGAGTGTTGTGTGCGTGTCATTGCACCATACGTGTTTATGGCTTCTCCTTTGTTCCAGTTTCCTGGGAGTTGGAGTATTTGTTGTGGTTTTCAACACCACCCATCCAGGCCACAACCAGGACTCCTTGGTGGTTGTTGATGAGCAAAGCAGTGGATCTGAACCACTTCCGTAAACCCCATGTGAACCAGCTCTCCAGACTGGAGGGGCCATGGGGACGCCTTCCAGGTCCCCAGGGCCACACCTGCCACCTGGGCTCACTTGGGGACTATAGCAGGCTCTTCGGCCAATGTGGACAAGAGTTGACCCCCCTTATGGAATAAAAAGCTTTCCTTCTGGGTGATGGGTGTCCTTTGGGCTGCTCCACTTGGCCCACTTTGCCTGGAGTTTGGAACCACTGCCTTCGTCCTCGGAGTCAGAACGAGGGGCTGGGCAGAGGTGGTGTCTCGAAGACTGGGGAGTGGTGGCTTGGGCCTGCCAAGAGCTGGCTCCCCTCCTGTGTTTCCTCCAGTCCTGAGGCACAGTGAAGTGTGACAATCCACAGCACCGGGAGGGTAGGACTGGGTTTGAATCCGGATCAATTACAACATTTCTCTCCAGCGTCACCCCCTCCCGTGATGACCTCACTGCTTTTCTCTCTGCTCTGTTTTCCCCTCCTGCTCTGGTGTTGTTTCAGTGACTTGAAAGCCCTTGTTCCTTGTTGAGGGTGAGAGAGAAAGGTGGGCAGAGAGTTCCAGACCCTGAGGAGAAAGGAAGCACAGTGCAGCTGAGGACAGAAGGGATGGCCAGCCAGGCTGGAGGCCAGAGGGCTGGAGGCCAGTGAGCGGGGCCAGACGTGCACAGGGAATGGCCTTCGGGGAGATGACCACATCATATCATCCCAGCCAGGACACTGGTGTAGGTGGAAGGGTGTTGCAGCAGTCATGGCCCTGGGAGAAGAAGTGGGGCTGTCCCAGGACAACTGGACACGTGGTCCCTCCTCAGAGGCTAGGAGGCTCACACTAACCTCATGTGCCTTAATGGGAAGGTGTCATAAATCACTCGGGAGGATGGTGTGTGCTGGTGATGGAGAAAGGACTCCTGGGTGTCTGAGGGTGAGGAGAGAGGGAGAGGAGCAGAGCAGAGAGGGGCTGGGGAACCCCAGCTCCGATCTTTCATCTCCCCTTGGCTGCAAACAACTCTGGGCCGCAGGCGGCCTGTCTGACTTCCACCTGCTTTGGTCCAGATCTAGTGTTGGTTTGAACAGTTCTCCCTTCACTCTGTCAGGGACAGGCTGCTAAGCATCTTTTGTAGGGCGTACGTCAAAAAAAATTCTTCACTGTTCTGATGACCTCAGTGCCAGTTTTCCTTCTCTACCCCTTCCTTTAGATGCTTCTGATTAGCAAGACATCCTTTGGTGGAGGGCGCTCAAACCCAAGGCCCACCAGTTGAATGCAAACATAGTCTTTTGGAGGGAAGGGGAAGACTTAGGGTCTGGTGGAGAAACACCAGGCTTTGGAGGCAGACTTCGGTTCAAGCTCTGGCTCTGCTACTTTCTAGCTGTGTGACTTTGAGTAAGTTACATACCCTCTCTGAGCCTCAGATTCCTCATTCCTGAAGCACTTCCTAAGTTAATGTGATGTTTTGACCACTCTATCCAAAGCAGTCCTCCCAACCACGGAAACTCTCTATTCTAGCTTCTTGTTCGTTTCCTTCATAATTCTTATCACACTCTGAAATGCTTCTCCCCACGTATCTACTTCTTGTCTGCTGTCTGTGTGTCTCTGGTTTGTAAACTCACGAGGGCGGGATGGCGTCTGGCTGCTTGGGCTTCAGCCCCACTGCGTGGAACAGCACCCGGCACATCGCAGGTATCTGCTGAGGGAACAGATGAATGAAGAGCATCGTCCTCAGCATGTGCTTGGCACCTGGTTACTGCAGAACTCACTGGAACTGTCTGTGCAGAGGCCTGCTCCTCGTCTTCAGACCTGCTCACACTCATCCAGTCACTTTCGTCTGCAAGTATTTCTTGAGCACCTACCATGAGCTAAGCATTGTACTAGATTCTGGGATACAGCAGTGAACAAAATAGATGCAAATACTGGCCTTGTAGAGCTTGCATTTTTGTGGGGGCGGACAGGCAAAAGAATAAAGGGAAACAGAAGGAGGCCGGATGGTGAGAAGCACTTTGGAGAATGATGGACAAGCCAGGGGCTAGGGAGTGCTGGGGAGGGATGGTCCAGAAAGGCTGCACCGAGGAGATGATACATCACAAAAAATCTGAAGGGGAGGGACCGAACTTGCAGATTTCTGGGGGAAATCTCCCAGGCAGAGGAAACAGCACGCGCAAGGCCCTGAGGCTGGTCTATTGCTGGAGTGGGCTGGGAGAGAGGCCATGGGGGCTGAGTGTGTGGGGCCTTGTAAACCATGGTGAGGGCGTTCAGTGTTACTCTGAGACAGACGAGAGGACCGTGATCAGAATTCTGTTTTGCAAGGGTCATTAGAGTGCTGTGTCTGTTGCGGGAAGGTTTGCAGTTGGACTGCACCTGATGATCAGCGAGCTGTGTCAGCCCCGCTGCTCTCCATCCTTCTGATGGGGGGCAGTTTCAGCTGTGAGTGCTGTCCTGGACACTGGGTGACTCGGTGTGTCACTTCCCCTCTCTGGACCTCAGTGTCCCCAGCTTGAGGCTGCATGTTGGTGACCCTGCAGAGCAGAAGCAGGGGGTTGCTCTTGACGCCCACCTTCAACAGCCAATGCCTGCTGAGCGCCTGTGAAGAGAGAGGAGCAGCAGGAAATGACGAGACTCAGCTTGGTCCTCAAATCATGGTGGGGCTGGGGTGGGGGCTGGTGGGGAGGTTCCTGTAAACTGGCTGGGCAGTCAGGCTCTGAGGGCAAAGCCGAGTGGCATTGTAAGCATCATGTACACAGAGCCCAAAGGGTTGTTACAATGGTAACAATTAATGTGTGCTAATCAACGAGGGTCAGAGCAGATTTGGGGGGTCAACCCGACACCTGAAGGGGAGCCGCAGTCACACGGACTTTTGGGACCCAGTGCCCCGAAGGAAACGGTGATGTCTGGAGAGGCCGAAGCCCCCTGACCCTTCCCCCGGAGGCTCCCAGTGTTTTCTCTCACCTGCCCAGCTCAACGCCCTGATGTATCTCAGGTCACGGGCTCCAGAGCTCAGAGACCAGAGACCCCGCAGAGGTGGAGGAAGGATTTACGGCTTTGCCAAGCTCTCGGTGTCATACTCTGTGAGTGTCACCGGCAAGAAATCAGAGCCTGTGAAATGGTTGGAGGTGGTTCGGTTTGAGGTCACGTGTTTCTCAGCTCCTGTGCTATGGAAGTAGTGTGAGCTCCAGAAGATGGGGCCAAAGTTAGGAGAGGCCCATGGAATCCATTGCCTTCTCCCTCATGGCTTCTACTCTCCAGTCGTGCCTGCACTAATGCCATCCTCGTTTCTCCAAGGCAAGGGGCCAACGAGAGCATGCCCTGCCACGACAAGTTATTCCACAGAGATGCTTTTCCCCTTGGCACCATGTCCTGTATTTGCTCAGCAGCCCACATCCTGCTCTGCCCCCAACCTTGGGGCTGATTTCCCACAAGGTAATTCAAATTCTCCAACATTAAAATCAAGCCAGTATTCAGGGAGCACTTGTGAGTCTTCGAGGTTCACCTTGAAGGAAGCTGGAAATTGTATCAGTAATGGCAGTGCTTTGCAATTTGTTCATACAACAATCTAGATGATGGTTGATCTATGAACTGGATGAATCTGATGGTTCATACAACAACCATTCAAACACACCTAAGCTGTTGCCATAGATTACCCATCCAAGGTTAGCAAGGTCTCTCACTTCCTTTACATTGAATTATGGCAGTAATAGAAGTATACCACCCAGAGGACACGCCTCCTTCCAGCTAGGAAACTATAAATGCCACGGTGTTTTTACTCAAATGGAGAAGAATCCAGCAAAATGGGGATCTCCACAGTCATCCTCGAAATATGTCTGTTGTTGGGTCAAGTTCTATCTACAGGTACTATGTCTAATTATTATATTCATTAATTTCAGATCATGTCTAATTGTTCCTTGGTTCTAGACATTCTATTCCAAGGGGTGTTTTGCATCAAAAAGAGGCAATTCTTTGCTGATAATTGTAATTGCAAGGATTTACAAGGAATGGCTCTTTTTTGTTTTGTTTCTGGCTGGGAAATACAACAGGTGTAGCTGGAAAAAGCCAATCATTATGTCAGTGTTGTCAGTGAGTCACTCAACTAAAGAAATGATTGATTGGTCTTAGAAAAATTCTTGAAGTTAAGGGAAAGTTTGTGTATATTGTTAAGAGGCCCTAAAACTTCGCCATAATTGGTTAAGCGCATAGTTTGCGCACTGTAAAAATCAGCAGAAAAGAGCCCCTGTAAATGCTCATTATGTGACTTTTTTCTGCAGGTGTGTCTGGCTTGATAATTAATATTTACTGACGAAAATCAGGTCAAGTAGCTGGGCACAGAGAAGACCATAAGAATTCCAAGTCTGCGTCTTCTGTCACTCGCTGCTTTAGACAAACCATTTGGAGCTCAGTAACTCGAGCATGTCCTTGTGTTCCTAGAGTGTCAAGGGATAAAATGTACATGAAAGAGCCATAGGCTAATCAGTGCGACTGTTGAATCTCAGTGTCTTTTACCAAGATACCAAATGAACAGGACGATTGGCCAGTGGGCCTAGGTCTCTCTCTATCTCTGTCTGATTTTCTGTCTCTCATCTGTCTGGCCTCCAGCATCTCTTTCCCTCCTTCCCTTCCTCCCCGTCTCTCTCCCTCTGTCCCTCCTTTTTTCTTCCTTCCCCTCCTTCTTTCTCTCTCTCCCTCCCTCCCTCCTTTCCTTTATTCATCTCTTCCCTCCTTCTTCTCTTCCACTCATCCCAACCTTTTCTTTGGTGTCATCTTTTGCTACATTCACGAATTCCGGAAGACAAGGCGGAAGTATCCTAATTTCCAGATGACTTCCAGACCTCTCACTCCCACCCCCAGGCTTCTTTGTAGGGGAAGCTCTGAAGATAAAAGTTTGTTTGGGAAATTGCTTTCATGGAAGCAGCATGCCAAACCCAACCCTCGAGGCCCTGGTGATGGGGAGCAGGCCTGCACTGTGTGTTAGGTGTGTGCATCATGGTGACACCAGGGGGCCAGCTGGCAGACATCGCCCACCTTCCCTCCCTGTCAGAAGGACGTCAGCGGGTACAGGCTGGGCGGTCTGGGGGCTGGAGATTGTGTCTCCATCAAAATATTTGACAACGAGAGGCAGCGTTCTTGGCTCCAGCTTTAGAAAGTTAGTCCCTGGCTTTGCACTGGCTCTAGGTGACCTGGGATTCCTGTCAGTCCCTAAAGCACAAGGACTGCCCCGTCCTCGTCTACAAAGGGGCTCAAGGCAGCGGTGCCTGTGTTGAGGGACCTTGAGGTTTCACTGTGATGCCCTGTGCGTGCACATACACAGACGCGCACACACACGCACGTGTGCCTGAATGTGCCGTGTGGAGGTGGGAATCAGCCCTGTGCAAAGTGCTTCCTGGGTTCCTGGTACTCAGCCCAACGCGGGCCCACAGTCTCTTGTCTAGATCTGCTAACAACCCAGAGTTAGGTATCCTTATTTCCACATTGCAGATGAGGAAACTGAGGCTCAGAAGGTTACATGCCTTGTCCAAGGTCAGCAGCTGGTGAGCAGCTGGGCCAGGACTTGAAGCTGGAGGTCGGCTGGCATTCGGGAGCAGTTACGGCCTTTAACCCTCGCTGTTCCTTGCAGAGAGCCGAGGGGATGAACTGTGGCGTTTAGCTCAGCACTGGAGCCCGGGGAGCTTCGTGCTGGGAGAACCGCGGCAGCAGGCACGCTTCTCAGCTCTGGTCTCTGCACAGACTCTTCAGAAAAGTCAGTGCGCCCAGGCCTGTGCGGGGCGGGCGGGGCGGTGGAACTCCTGCTGCTCCTAGCTGTGTCTTCGGCTCTGCCGCTTATCAGCTCTGGGGCCTCTGCAAGCCTCAGTTTACTCGTTTGTAAAATGGGCTGGTGTTTCAACCTCATAGGGTCGTGTAGAAATGAGGTCACCCAGGCAGCGTCTGGCACATAGTGGGTGCCCACCAACAGGCCATTGTTCCTCTTCTAGGCACTTTCCCGATGTCTTATCCTAACATAACTTCCTAAATGCAAACTGGTATCTTGGATTAGACCCTGGAACAGAAAAAGGAAAAACTGGTGAAATCAAATAAAGTCTGAGGTTTAGTTCATGGGAATGTACCTGTGTTGGTTTGGTAGTCGTGACAAATGCACCATGGTAATGTGAGATGTTAACATTCGGGGAAATTGGGGAGGGGTATTCGGGGACTCTCTGAGGATTAGTACTAGCTCTGCAACTGACAACTATAAAGTTATTCCAAAACAGTTTCTAACTTGACTTCCCTCGGTCCAGTTTCTTCAAGGCCAATGTTTTGCAAGATGAGAAAGTAATAATTGCTTACAAACGAATTCCTAGCATATTGGTCATCCTCAACATTACCCTTCCCACAGTTTATCAGGGGTTTTGGCCATGACTAGTGCCTTAAAATAAAGGAGAAAATCTAATGGAGAGACTCGGGCAGTGTGAGAACGTCTTTACTGGGGTGACATTTGGATTGAGGGCGCGCCTCTGATTCCCTTAAGTGACGGGTCCACACAGACGTCTGATCTCTCCTTCTTGAACTTGTCGTTATTGCGCAAACTCCTCCCGCGTTACGTAAGTCAGTTGCTAGGTGCCGAATGGCCGGGAGGAGGAGAAAGGCGACGGAGGAGCCTTGGGCTGAGGCCCGGCGGGCAGCCTGGCATCCTGTCCCGCAGCACCGCCCGCCCCTCTTCTGCAGCCGCGCGTCTCTCCACATCCTGCCGCACACACACACCTGGGATCATTCCCCACGTGCCCCATGCTGCTCTCCACCCTGGGGTTTTATTGGTTCTGCCTGTTTCCCGGGACACCTTGCAGCTCACTATCTTGCAGCACAAAGCAACCTCTGGCACTCCAAACCTCGCCTCTGGCCGTGGGAACTGCGCGCACTGCGCCCTCCGCCTGGAGCGCAGTCTTCCCCTCCCCTGCCTTCACCAGGCTAAATCTAGCTGCTATTTTTATCTCTTTTATGCTTTTTGGTGAGGAAGATTGGCTCTGAGTTAACATCCGTTGCCAATCTTCCTCTTTTTTTCTCTCCCCAAAGCCCCAGTACACAGATGTATATTGTAGTTGTAGGTCATTCTAGTTCTTATGTGTGGGATGCTGCCACAGCACAGCTTGATAAGCAGTTAATAGGTCGGCACCCAGGATCCAAACTGGTAAATCCCAGGCCACCAAAGTGGAGACCACGAGCTTAACCTCTGGGCCACAGGCCAGCCCGCCAGCTGCTATTTTTAAAAACCAGGGACACCACCCAACCAGGAAACTGTCCCTGACATATATTCTCAACACACAGACAGACACACACAAAAAGTGTGTCATTCCATGGTTCCACTCAGTCTCCCATAGCACCTTCACTCCTGCACCAAATTGCCTGTGGATTTTTCTAGCGATCCTGCTATGCTGGGGGTCCCTGGAGGGCAGGGACCATGACTTGCTCACTTAGTACCCAGCACAACACCTTGCATGGCTAAGAGCCTAACAGGGGGCCTGTCTCACACTGAATTTAATGAAGCAGGCTGAACCCCCCAGTGCCCAGTTTCCAGGGCAGGAGAGAGGGTGTGACGATGTTTCCGTCTATGAGGGACCACGTTTGGGACGGTGGTCCCATAAGATTAGCACCATAGAGCCTAGTTGTGCAGTAGGCTATACCGCCCAGGTGTGTGTACGTGAACACTCAGTGGTGTTCACACCCAGACAAAATCTGCTAACCTGGCATTTCTCTGGATGTATCCCTGCCGTTAGGTGACGTGTGGCAGCATATAGTTTATGGGGAGGTAAACACATTATCAGGAACAATGTCAACCACACCCTCTCCATCACTGCATGTCATTACTCCAGAATGGTTTGCTTTTTTGACAAGTTGAAACGAAATCTCTTTCTTTTAACTCGAATTTGGGAGCCCGCGTGGTGGAGCTGCGTCCCACAGCTGCTGTGGGGTCAGCGCACCTGACCTCAGATGTGAGCCTCACTACTTAGTGGCTGTGTGACCTTTGACAAGTTGTCCCACCCCTCTAACCTTTGGGTTTCTCGTCCATAAAATAGATGTGAGTAATAATTCTACCATAAAGCATTTTATGAAGATTGAATAAGACAGGACCGGTCAAGCACTTGGCTCAAAGCCTGGAAAGTGGTAATTAATCAAAAATACCGGTTCCTCCCCCCACCTTCTCCTCTCTCCCTCCTCTTCTCGCTCTCTGCTTTCTCTACCACTAGCTTCCTGCTCTTTCTTTATCTTCTGGTTCCCTTTCCCCTTGTTCTTTTCCTTGAGCCTACAAGCAACATTCCTCCCCACCCTGAAAGAATCTGCCTCCTACACCACCCCCAACGCCACCTCCCACCTTCAGCTTCAAACCACGCTGTCACTGCACGGTTAGCGGAGGAAAGGTAGGAGCTGGAGAAAAATGCAGAGAAAATCCAAACACCCGCCCTCCTATCACGCGAGACTGCCGTTGTTCAACTATGTGTTTCTTTCAAGTTATATGTACGTGAGTGGTATCATTAAATATACAGTTTTCCTCTAATTTATCTTTATATTCTGAACATTTTAGCATGCCATTCACAATTTTTGGATATTGAAGTTGTCTCAGGTTTTCTTCTTTTTTTTTAAAAAAATTTCACTTTATTGAGATATAATCAGCAAAATCGTAAGCTGTTTAAAGCGTACGTCATGGTGATTTGAGATACGTACACACTGTGCTGTAAGTACACATCCCAGTAATTAACACATGCAGCACCTCACATATTTATCTGTTTTTAATGCGAACGTTTAAGTTCTGCTCTCTTAGCACATTTCAGTTGTCCAGTACAATGTTGTTGAGCACAGTCACCGTGTTTTGCGCTAGATCCCGAGAGCTTATTCAGCTCATTGCTGGAAGTTGGTGTCCTTAGACCAACCTCTCCCCAGCTCCTCCACCCCGTTTCAGGTTCTTTCTATATGGAGGTTACCGTGAAGACCATCCCTGCCCGTGCATCTTTGCTCACATTCTAGAAATTATTTCCTTTCGCTAGATTCTTAGAAGTGGAATTACTGAGTCAAAGAGTTGATCATTTTTAAGGCTTTTAAAATACACTGATAAATGATTTTCCAGAAACACGCCAGTTCTTTCCATTCTCAGTAAAAAACAAGAGTGGCAATTTTCTACACCTTCTCCAGTTCCGAATATTATTGTTCAAAAATCTTGGCTGAATTGCTGGATGAAAGATGGCACCCAGTTATTTTAATTTGCGTTTCTTTGCTTATAGTGAGAGTGAACATCTTAAGCCACTTATATTCCTTTTCCTTGAATTGTCTGTTTGTATCCTTTGTCCCATTTGTTTGAAAGGTTAGTGTCTTCCTTGTTGACTTATGTAAACTCTGTCTGTAATTTGGATATTAGGACTTTGCTCGTTACATTGATGACAAGTATTTTCCCAGTTTGTTGTTTGCCTTTTAATTTGGATTTTGATTTTTCCACATAAATTTTTTATATTTTCGTGTAATTAAATTTCTTGCTGTTTTCCTTTGTGATTTCCTGTGGATTTTAACGCTAGAAACTTCTTACAGAAACCAGATAAACATTTAACTAGTTTTTTATTTCTGTGTGTTTAAAAAGATATCTAGTTCTTTACTTCTGAAAATTATTTTGCTTTCTGGTATGAAGTAAATATCTAAAAAAAATTTTCTATGTTTTAATTTTTATAGCTTTATTTGTAATATTTTAGGGCTAATAGTAACTTTTTGAATGGTGACTACTATACTCAGCACTTGATATATTTTTTCTGATTTTGTCTGCACGATAAACTTATGAAGTGGTCAATGTACCTACAGATGAGAAAACTATGATCGAGTGAGCTTAAATGACCTGCCCGAGTTTAGAGGACACACAAGTAGCAGGGCTAGCATTTGACCCCATGTCACCTGTCTCCAAGGTCATAGGTGTGTGATCCTCCCACCCCCACCACCCCACCCCTGCCCCGTCCGTGGTTTTTCCTTGTCAAGAACAAACCAGTTATTTATAGCCTGTTGTTTTTTCTGTTGAACTTCAAAATCTTTTTTTTTTCTGTGAGGAAGATTGGTCCTGAGCTAACATCTGTTGCCAGTCTTCCTCTTTTTGCTTGAGGAAGATTGTCACTGAGCTAACATCTGTGCCCATCTTCCTCTATATTGGATGTGGGATGTCGCCACAGCCTAGCTTGATGAGTGTTGATGGGTCTGTGCCTGGGATCTGAATCTGCAAACCTGGGGCCACTGAAGTGGAGTGTGCTGAAATTACCCACTATGCCCCTGGGCCGGCCCCTAAAATCACTTTTTAAAGAAGCAACCAATCAAAGAAAAGCTTTGCAATGGGAATTATATTAAAGCTGTGAATTTGTTTAGGGCGACTGACATTTCCATATTCAGTCCTTCCGTCCAGACACCTGGTTCATCTCCTCATCTGCCAGGAGGCAGCCAGGAAGCTTTGTATAGAGTTGGTATTTTTAGTCCTATTAGAATATTTTGAAGGAGAGCTTCATCCACAGTGTCTCTGCTTCCTCAGAGCCCGTTTTAACCCACATCTTCCCCTCTGCTGGCTCCCATCTGGTGTGATGCCAGGACCTCACATGGGGTCCCCCGCTGGACTCCTGGACGCCCCTCAGTGGAGCCCTTCGTCCCCTGTCCTCTACCTGCTGACTCGGATGACTCACCCCCTAGAGTGAATTTCCCCAGGACAGTGGGGGGCGTCACGTGATCTCACTGTCCCCTGCCAGGTGGAGTCAGGCACCCAGTAGGTGCTCAGGAACGGGCAGAATGAGCTGTTCCTTCCCGCTCTGTTGGAACTGCTGTTACTTTTCCTGTACATGGGCTGGGGGACAACGGTTTTCACACTTTAGCTCTCATTTGGCCTTTTTTTCTTTGTATTTTCAGCAATACCAGCAGTGGGAGACTCCACGGAAACCACTTCCAGGGAGACACAGACGCCAACTGGTAACTAACCTCTGGGACTGGGAGGTTGTGGCACCCAAGGCCACCGCAAGGACTCAGGAGGGGCTGCTGCAGAGAAACCTGCTGGGTTTTAGATGTAGGACAGGAAGGACCTCCTCTGACGGGGTCCACCTGGGCCCTCAGCCCCTTCCTTATGAAGGTCCATGCTGACCAGAAGACAGGTCCGGGGCCTCCATGCCAGCCTCTGCCCAGCCACATGTCTTTCCTAAGATCTCTGCCCCTCAGGCTGCCCCACTGACTCAACGTTGAGTGCTCATCAGAATCAGCTAGGGCATTTGTTTGAATGCAGGTCCTTGGACTTCTCCTCACCCACCTCCAGAGACTGATTGGGAAGGTCCAGGCCAGGGCTCAGGAATCTGCATTTTTATATGACCGAGAATAAGAACGGTCTGTAGACCACACCTGGAGCACCCGGGCTGCCTGGCCCCGGACAGAATGCAGGTTTCATGTTTGTGATGTAACTATGGAAGCATGACTTTGCCAAGAGTTTCCAAAGGAAGTGACAGAAGATATGTGCATACATTTTAAGAGCTACTTGCTTTTACTTATTTTTTCTTAATGCCTATATTTGCCTTAATGTCAAGTGAATTTAGGTTTTTCACATTTTGCCAAATGGTTCTTGGCTACATTGTAGCTCAGACTTGTCAATAGAAAGGCTTTTCCACAAGTGCATCGCTAGCCTTAACATGCCTTTCACAATGGCCTTGATCTCCTTGTCACCTCATTTGGCAGAACCTGTCCTCCCAGGACGCTTCTAAGCAGGAGAAACCACAGCGTGGACTCGCTCTGTGCTGTTTCAGGGGATCACATTCCCTGCCTTCAGGGACTTAGGGTCTAACTGAAAGACAGACACTAATCAGCTGATCACTCAGTTACAATCAGAGCTGTGATCAGTGCTGGAGCCGTTGATCAGCCATCAGAGAGAGCAGTCCCGAGAACGTCACAGGTGAACTGAGGCCCAGAGCCGGTGTGGGAGTGAGCCAGACAGAGCAGGAAGGAAGAGTGTTTCTCTGGGAGTCACTGTCACTGCTGGAGTCTTAGTCAAGGCCGCCAGGTGACTTCCCATTGAAAACCGAATTTGGCGAGTTTATGGAAAGTAGATTAGCGTGGACCACCTGCCTTGCAAGGACTACAAGGAGTGGCTGGGAGCAGGCAGCAGCTGTGACAAAAGGCAGCACAGGATGATAGGTAACAGCATGGACAGTAGAGTTGGGGTCTGGGTGTCCTTGGGCTACCTTTATAGCGTCTGTGCCTCAGTGTCCTCAGGTGTAAGTGAGGATGGGGTTGGGGGAAGGATTAAATGAGACCATGCATATAAATCGCAAGACATGGAATTCTCTTCACCAGCCACGAAGATGCAATAACTCTTCAGTAGACAGTTGCTTAAGTTCCAGAGCACTTTCCAGAGCGCTGTTGGAGCCACGATGCAATCCCCTTAGGCTTCTCTTCCAGAGTGACGGGAGTGGCCCATCTGTTAGATGTGGCCTAGTTTGACGATAATCTCCCTATTTTTATGCTCAAGCCCCTCAGTTTTTCCCCAATTACAGCCGTAACGTGCACCATGTCCAAATGTGCACAATAGGTGCTTTGGGAGATTGGGGGCAATGGCTGAGTCCAGATGGAAAGGTGCCAGCTCCCCTGGAAAGGGACTAGGTCTTTGTGGAGTATCTTGAGAGATTTCTTGTGGCTTTTCCTAGTTGGTCCCTCTGACAGCTTGACTCTCTTGGACACTGATCCCCGGTGCCAGAGAGCATTCTGTTTCCATTTTCTGGAAAACAAACAAGTGGAACCTTCTTTCTCCAGGTGATTTACCCCCATGCCTCAAATGGCAGCCAGCATCATCTACAAGTATGTGGTTGAGTATTGGAAGAGTCAAGTGGGTCTCAGTAAATGTGTGCAAAAGAGTTTATTCCAAATGCATGGGCATAGCACAATGGGAGACAACTTCAAGGTTCTGTTTGGATATGCTGTGGATGACTATTGTCAAGACCCGGGAGCTCAGAGCTTCTGGATCCGATGCAGATTCTGACACTGACTGTCATATGAGTAAGCAAGACGCCTGGAGCATGTTAGTGGGAGTTGCATGGTGTCCTGTGTACTGTGTTTGAATAGCAGAGTTTTGAATGGAGGACTCTCTCAGGCCTGTCTGTCAGCTTGTTCTTGAATGTGGGAGCAGGGATGGTGTGTCAGAAATGAAGTGGGAGTGTTCTGGTGCCGATGTTTCTAGTTTTGTGGCCTCTGAAGAAAGAATATTCTGGCTGCCTGTTTCCGTTATGAATTGCTTCTTCATGTTCAGGGTGTGTAGCCACCTGGCCTCAATGGCCCTCTTATGGCCATGAACAGCATGCAGCAGGGCAGCTGGAACATGTGGACCCCATGTTCAAGGTGTAGAGACAGGGGCTGGAGTTCTCTGACAGCCTGTACCCTCGCCTGCCTGTTGTTCTGTGAGAGAAATTCAGGTCTCTGACCGCTGACTGCTGCTTCTGGCTGGTCTCGCATTTCAACAGTAGTTGAGAAGTTTGTCAGATGCCTTAGCCCTCCCTGTGTGAGGAAGCAAGAAAAATATGATTATGAAAGCCACCTTACTAGAAATTCTGGTAAGAATTTAAACATAGCAGATCTCTTTGTATTAAGGAGATTGTGGTACATGAGCATCATAAAAGATGAAAGTGAACCATCGCATGTCCTTCTGACAAAATGAGATGGTCCAAGTTCGTGCAGCCAAATATCATGGATGAAATCCTTTGCGTGGAGGTGGGCGAGAGCACTACGTTTTATTTCTGCACTTAGAATTATATTACTGACTCCTTGATTCTTGGATCTAAGGAAATTCATCTGAGATATTGTCATCTGAAGCCTCGTAGTGTGAGATTTCAGGTGTACGATCAATTTCACCATTATCGTCAGCATCCAGGGTGCTGCTCTCTGTTGCTTTGCATTCCTCTTCTGCTTCACTAATTATCGTGAAACATCATCCTTCATCAATTTTCTTCTCTCTGCTATTGTGAGCAGACAATGAAAAATTCTGAATTCCTAAAAGCATTCATGAAAGCTAAAATAATGACAATTTCTCCAGCCTTTAAAAAAATACCTTCTTGAAAGATAATGCAACATTTTGGGCACTGAAGAATGATGATTTATTTCACCATTTCATCTTCCTTCTATGCAACGCCGCTGTTCTTCCATATTCTTATCATATGTCTTTTTTATAATAGTAATTGATGAGTTAATAACAGATGAGCTATTTCCTTGAATGGTGAAGTAGAAGCATGTTTCAAGATACATGAAAATGAGATCGCTGAGAACCCATAATGCATCTTGGATTTACACAAGGATCCAATGAATCCATATAGTGACTGTAAGATAGAATGAGTTTTACTCCAGTTTTTAATGAATAAATATGCTTTTTGAACTTGGAAGACCTTTAAAAACATATAAAAGTCATGAAATATTAATCTTCACAAATACAGTTAGACCTTCTCAAAAAAAGAAGCTCAAAAACTAAAATTGAGCCCAATAGAACTGATGGTACACTGAGGGTTAACCTGAAGTGACGGGGGCGTGGAGAGCTTTAGTGTGGCCTCAGTGATTGTAAAGATTCAGAGTTCTCTCAATTTGGGGTTTCTTGAAGATAGAGTGAAAATTTCTCAGGGTATGCATGGGAAGGAACAGGATATCTGACACCCAAATATTTACTTATTTAGGGGTCTCGGAGTGTCTGTTCCCGTGCTGACTCTACTCAAATTTCAGACTCGAGGGTGATTCAGCAGCCCCCTGAAATCCCTGACCCCCATTTAAACTGCCTCTCTTGTCCAGCCTTTCTTTCTGAGCATAGATTGCATCCTATGACTATAAACTGCAGCGTTAGGGGCCTGGGAAAGAAATGTGTACATTATTACATCTAAAATTATCGAGCACCCCGTTTCCAACCCACTTGTTTTAATCTGCTATTTGCAAAACCCCAAACCCTTGGCAAGAATACTGGAGACACACAAACCCAAGATCGAACCCCAGCGCCCCCTGGTGTGATCGTGAGGTGAAGCTCTAGTCAGTATCAGTAGGAGATCATTTACCAACAGTAAATGATGAGTTCAGTTTCTTTCTAGTTCAAACCCCCAGACTACTGCATATGGTAAGACCTTTCTCCTTCCTTGTCTTCCCGGGGTTTTGCTCATTGGTTGGTTCTGCCAGTTCTGCTGCTGCTGCTGTTGCCTAGTTGAGGCGGAGTGTAGTCTTGGCCACAGAGCAATTGGATGCCCTAGAGAAAGCAGGGATGGAGAGGGAGGGGTCAAGTGGTGCCAAGATCCTAGGCCCGTCCCAGACGAACACTCAGCCAGTCCCATCTTTCATTCCCCTTCCTTCTTCTCTCACCTCACACTCATCCATCCATCCATCCATCCATCCATCCATCCATCCCTTGCATGACATTGGCTTCAGTTAGCAGAGTCAGTGCCTCTTCTCACCGTGAATGACAGTTTTCTTGAAGATAGCTGAATCCTCCCAGGGCTTGCTGTGTACCCTTCACAAAAGTATTTTCATATATCAAATGAGTTAATGTATTAAAAAAGCACTTAAAACACTGCCTGGCACATAAGGCTCAACTAACGCACAAAGTGAGTGCTGTTATCATGAAATCTGCTCAACAGTACTTTGGTGTGAGGAGTGTTATGACCCCATTTTGCAGATGGGGAAACTGGGACACAGTCAGGTAAGTTGTCAATAGTTCTACCTCTAAGGTCACATGGTGGGTAAGTGTCCGGGCAGAGATTCAAACCCAGAACAGGTGCCTTCGTCCGTGATTCTTACTAAATGTATCCATCTCTCCTCCTTCTCCACTGTGAGGGTGTGTGACATTTGCTCCAAATTTAACATGTCAGGGTCCTTTATGGGCTCACTTCGGACCGCTGATCGTGCCAGCGAGTTCTTGACTCGATGTGTTGAGGCCATTCCTAAAGTGTGAAATCTGCAGAACTGCAGGCTCAGCTCCCCTCCCCTCTTTGGCCAACCGTGAGGCACCAGGACTGCTTGGGAGCAATGACTACACGGTGGGTCCCAGAGAGCATCCACCGTGCTGTGGTCAGACCAGGAGAGCCTCCGCCTTATTGGCAGGGCCGACCGCAAGGTCCACACCTGCTTTTCTCTGGGGCTTCCTTCTGGGGCTACGTGGCTTTGGTGGGGGCAGTTGGACAGTGGAGTGCCCTCACCCCTTGATGTGTGCATGCCTTGGGGTCCTGCCAGTAGCCGGCTCGGAGGACAGGATTCGAGGCTCGACTGTGACTTGGGGAGGGCAGGAAGAGCAGCGGAGAAGTGGGGCGGGGCGTAGGGCAGGGCAGGTGGCCGCAGGACGGAATGCTTGTGGGCCAGTGAGGGCCCTGGGGCTGGAGCTTGATGCCCAGCAGAGACTCAGGGACGCCTCGATCAGTCTCCGAATCCTTGTCCCTGGGCTGCAGCAAAGGGGCGTTCCTCTAGAGCTGCTGGGACTCCCCCTTGCTGTTCGCATGGGATGTCAATCCCACGGCTGTGGTCGCCTGTTCCGGGCACGGCAATGGGCTTTCCTCTTGTGGGAAGGAGGCCCTCGGGCACAGCCAGGCAGGCCTTGGGGGTGGGACAGAGGTTGGAGCTCCCGGAGGCCCTGAGAGCTGCGTGGCAGTGGCTGGCGGCGTCCACGCATGGGGCACGTGAGAAGCTACAGCTCAGCGTGTCCCCACTGAGTCTCTTCAAGCTTGGAGTCTGGGAGGGGGTAGGCCCCTCTGTGCTTTGGGTCTGGCTTTCCTTCTCTTTCTCACAGCTGCTCAGCCCCAGACCACAGCCCTGCCAAGTAAGTACCCAGCGGCTTCATGAGGATGTCCTTGTTGTCCTTGGCCACTTGTCCCTTTTCCCCTCACGCTGGGTGAACCACTGTTCATGGCAGAACCTATGGGTCACGTGGCTTTTACCCTCTGTCACCGAGACACCCGGCACCTGCTTCCTAACTCATCATGGGACTCCCAAGACGTTCGTCTTCCCATCAGGCAGTCTGAGCTTTCCTCCAACACACTGATAGCGTCCCAAGCAACTCAGGGAACCGGCCACGTGTGCTGGGACCTTTGCGCCAGTGCCGCCCAGGCTGAGGGGGCTGTTGGGGGAGGAGGGACGTTGATCACCACTGACCATCTGTCGGTGGGCTGTCGGAGCAGGCTGCATTCCCTCCAACCCTCACTCCTTACAGCACCCTCAGATCCAGCAGGGTCCCATCCGCATCCCAAAGGGGCAGGGACCGTACCCAGGGGAGGGAAGGGGCTGAGTCATGGTGGGACTCCGGGTACCAGGTTACCTGATGGGCCCAAGGTCCACCCTCTGCAGCCCTTGAATTTTCTGTGCAAGCTGCCGAGTCTGGGCATGCCCTAGGGAGCACCAGCGAGTCCATGGCACAGAGGAGGGTGGCCGCAAAGGTCTTCCCATGGCGGAGAGGACATGCCAGGCTTAGAGAGGTGGCGGGAGCAGGCTGATGTGCAGCGGGGCCTTGGTGACAAGGGGGGGGTCACTGACCTGGAGGTTGGTGCAGCACACACGGGTAGGAAGTGGCGGGGTCCACATGTGGGGTCATTGTCATGAGGCCTCCCAAAGCATTTTTCGAGTCCTTCTTTCCAGAACGTCTAACTCTGCCTTCCCGTTGTTGCACTCCCAGGCCCCTGGGACAGGACAATCGGAGATGTGATATTACCAGCAGGTCAGTATTCCTGTCCACATGCCCTGGGGCTCCCTCTCTGCTTCGGGGTCCAATTGGGTGGGAGAGTGTTGGGAGGAGGCTCATGGTGTACCCTTGCTTATTGTTGGCCCCGTGGGTGGGGCGCAGCTGAGGGAGGGGTCTCTGAAGCCCAGGGCCTCCGTCTGGTCTTAAGGGGCCGACCAGCTGTCTCGAGCGGATTCCTGGTCCCAATGCTCTGCAAAGGGTCCCCTCTGAGGTCTCAGTGGAAGGCCTGGAAGTCCTCACGAGTCCTGCCGGGACCTGGCTCCTGGCTCTCAGGCGATGGGTGGCCGTCCCGCGCAGAGGGGTGGAGAGTGCCTGGCCTGCATGGGGCTGGTCCAGGGCCCCTCATGTGCTGGAATTTTGCAGAGCCGAGGCAGGACCACATAGGAGCCAACAAGCTCCAGACAGGGTGATGGCCTTGGCCTGTCACGGGTCCCCAGGGAGCTCCACCCCAGGGGTGCCCGGTGTAGCTTGGGGGTTCCATTCCTGCTCACCTCCATTGGGGCTCAAGAGGTGCTTCCCCCTATTTGGCCCTCCTGAGACCCGGGCCGAGCTGTGTGTCTCTGCTCCTTTCCCCGGGAAGAAGATTCCCCTCTGTGTACCTGCTAAGGTGGCTGGTTGTCCAGGGAACAAAGCCATGAGGATGTCCCCTGGGTCTGGAACGTGCCTTAGGCCCGGGTCCTCAATCCAGACACAGAGGAGGTGTTCTTGTGCTCCCCCTAGGGACCGAATCGGGTTTGGCCCTGAGGCTGGTGAACGGAGGTGACCGGTGTCAGGGCCGGGTGGAGGTCCTGTACCAAGGCTCGTGGGGCACCGTGTGCGATGACTACTGGGACACCAACAATGCCAACGTGGTGTGCCGGCAGCTGGGCTGTGGCTGGGCCACGTCGGCCCCGGGAAGTGCCCGCTTCGGTCAGGGCTCGGGGCCGATTGTCCTGGACGACGTGCGCTGCTCAGGCCAGGAGTCCTACCTGTGGAGCTGCGCCCACAATGGCTGGAACAGCCACAACTGTGGTCACCACGAGGATGCCGGTGTCGTCTGCTCAGGTGGGCCTCCGAGATCCCCGGACCCGCTTCTGGCGGGACGTTTGCTGAGAACAGACGCACTTCCCACTCCAGGGCCCCTCCCCACCCCAGCCTCTCCCAGAGATCCTGTGTGACCCGAGGTTTCCTGGGGGCAGCTGGCCCCTAAAGCACGACCTCTGGGGGAACGGTGGGCTCAGCTCCCCTCCCCTCTTTGGCCAACCGTGAGGCACAACTGCTTGGGAGCAATGACCACACAGTGTGGCCCAGAGAGCATCCACTGCACCATGGGCAGACCAAGAGAGCCTCTGCATTCTCGGCAGGGCCAACAGCAAGGTCCATACCCACTTTTCTCTGGGGCTTCCTTGTGGGGGCGCGCGGCTTTGGCGGGGGCGGTTGGACAGCGGAGCGCCCTGACCCCTTGATGGGTGCATGCCTTGGGGTCCTGCCAGAAGCCGGCTCGGAGGACAGGATTCGAGGCTCGCCTGTGACTTGGGGAGGGCAGGAAGAGCAGCGGAGAAGTGTGGCGGGGCGTAGGGCAGGGCAGGTGGCCGCGGCCCGGAAGGCCCGCGGGCCAGCGAGGGCCCTGGGGCTGGAGCTCGACGCCGAGCAGAGACTCGGGGACGCCTCGATCGGTCTCCGAATCGTTGTCCCTGGGCTGCGGCAAAGGGGTCTTCCCCCAGAGCTGCTGGGACTCCCCCTTGCTGCTCGCGTGGGGCACCTGTCCCGGGCACGGCGAGGGGCTTTCCTCTTGTGGGAAGGAGGCCCTCGGGCACAGCCAGGCAGGTCTTGGGGGTGGGACAGAGGGTGGCGCTCCCAGAGGCCCTGAGAGCTGCATGGCGGTGGCTGGCGGCGTCCACGCAGGGGGTACGTGAGAAGATACAGCTCAGCCTGTCCCCACTGAGTCTTTTCAGGCTTGGAGTCCAGGGGGGGCCACCCTGTGCGCTTTGGGTCTGACTTTCCTTCTCCTTCTCACAGCTGCTCAGCCCCAGACCACAGCCCTGCCGAGTAAGTACCCGGCGGCTTCGGTGGGCTGTGCCTGTTCTCCCTGGACACCTGTCACTTTTCTCCTCACTCTGGGTGAACCCCTGCCCTTGGGAGAGCCTACAGGTCATATGATTTCCCCCCTCTGTCACTGAGACGCCCAGCACCTGCTTCCTAACTCATCATGGGACTCCCAAGACATTCGTCTTCCCATCAGGCAATCCGAGCTTTCCTCCAACACACTGATAGCGTCCCAGGCCACTCAGGGACCCGGGTGCGTGTGCCGGGGCCTTCGCCCGGGTGCCGCCCAGGCTGAGGGGGCTTTTGGGGGAGGAGGGACGTTGATCACCGCTGACCTTCTGTCGGTGGGCTGTCGGAGCAGGCCGCATTCCCTCCAACCCTCGCTCCTTGCAGCATCCTCAGATCCAGCAGGGTCCCATCTGCATCCCAAAGGGGCAGGGACGGTACCCAGGGGAGGGAAGGGGCTGAGTCATGGTGGGGTTCCGGGTACCGGGATGCCCAAATGGCTCCATGTCCGCCCTCTGTGGCCCCTGACGTTTCTGTGCAAGGTGCCGAGTCTGGGCATGCCCTCGGGTGCACCAGCCAGTCCATGGTGCAGAGGAGGGAGGTGGCAAAGGTCTTCCCATGGCAGAGCGGACATGCCAGGCTAGAGAGGTGGCGGGAGCAGGCTGATGTGCAGCGGGGCCTTGGTGACAAGGGGGGTCACTGACCCGGAGGTTGGTGCAACACACACGAGTAGCAAGTGGCGGGGTCCACATGTGAGGTCATTGTCATGAGGCTGCCCAAAGCTTTATTTGAGTCCTTCTTTCCACGACTTCTAACTCTGCCTTCCCTCTTTTGCACTCCCGGGTCCTTAGCCCACAAGAACCCAAGATGTGGCATCACCAACACGTCAGTCTTTCTGTCCACACCCCCTCAGGCTCCCTCTCTGCTTAGGGGACCATTTTGGGTTGGAGGGTGATGGGAGGAGGCTCAGGGTGTGCCCTTGCTTCTCCTTGCCCTGTGGGTGGGGTGGGACAGAGGGAGGAACCTCTAAAGCACAGGACCTCGGTCTGATCTTGGGGTGCTGGCCACCTGTCTCAGTGGGATCCTGATCCAGATGCTCAGCAAATTGTCCCCTCTGGGATCTCAGTGGAAGCCCTGGAATCCTTGCGAGTCCTGCCAGGACCTGGCTCCTGGCTCTCAGGGAAGAGGCAGCTGACCCGGGCAGAGGGGTAGAGAGTGCCTGGCCTGCATGGGGCTGGCCCAGGGCCCCTCATGTGCTGGGACTTTGCAGAGCTCAGGCAGGACCACACAGGGTCCAACAAGCTCCAAACAGGTTCATTCTTGGCTAGCCTCTGGTCCCCACAGAGGTCCACGCTGGGCGTGCCCGGTGTGGCTTGGGGGTTCCATTCCTGCTCACCTCCATCAGGGCTCAAGGGGGTGTTTCCTCCCATTTGGGCATCCTTAGACCTGAGCGGGATATTATGTCTCTGCTCCTTTCCCTGCCTGCTTGTCAGGGCACAGCTTTGCAGTTGGATAATGGGCCACATTCACACCTTGAGGGGTGCATTTATTTGGGTTAAATAACAGTGTAATTAATTATCTGCTGGCTCTCGCACCACTGTGGTCGTGGGGAGGGTCCTGGCCTCCCTGCTCAGGCGGTCCTCCTAGACACTGGGCCTCTATTCTAATGTGTGGTTGTCTCCACTTGGGTCGTCTTGCAGGATCTCCTCTCACCCTGAGCTTCCGTGGAAGGTTGCGGCTTCTCTGATCACTTCACTGACAGCCCTTGCTGTCCCTGAACGTTCTGGGTGGGCTGCAGCATCTTCCATAGGTGGCCCCAGAGCAGACAGGGTTTAATGGACATGAAGGTGTAAGCACAAATTCCCCAACACCTCTTTGAGGAGACTGTCCCCTGAGACGTACGTCTCCTATTCAGGTCTCCTGGCCAACACCCAGGAAGCCTTGCTCAGTGATGGAGGGACAGGCATTTCTCCTTCTTAGCATCCTGGGGGCCTTGTTCACACTCGTTCCTGGCTCGGAGGCTGACTCGTTTCCTTTCCTTCTTGCGGATGCTCTAATCTCTTCCGCTATCCCAGGTGAGTCGCAGCCACCCGACCCAGTCAGAGTCGTCCCTGGAACTCTGCTCTGTGAGGTTTCCAGAGCTAGGAGGAGAGGGGCAGCCTCCTCCCGGGGAATGATTTCTCCTCAACTGCCTGGACGTGGTTCTGGTGACCAGCTGAGTGCCCAGAGCCATCGCTCTCCCTGAGCTCAGGCTGGAGAGCCCTGTGGCCTCCAGACACCGCCTGCTGCCAGCGCTGGTCCTCCCAGAGAGGCTGCAGGGGAAGAGGTTTTGGGCCTCTGCTGATTTCAGATGAAAACGACTGTCCTAGTCATCCCACGGAGAACTGTGACCATTTTAGAAAATGGGGACTGCTTCTTGGCTGAGCTCAGTGTGCAACCAGCAGAAGCTCCTGATCGCTGGCTCCTGAGCTCCTGGTGAACCTGCTCTGAGTGTTCCCAGCACACCCCTGGCTCCTTGAGATCTTCCTCTTCCTCCCACCCTCACCTCTTCACCCTCTGGCTTCCTGCAGCAGAGCAACTTCAGGCCCCCCTCCCCCCATTCTCCATTGCAGCCAGGGTCTTCTAGGATATGCAGTGTCTGTCCCAGCTTCGGCACCTTCGAGTGGCTTCTCAGGGAGTTCTGGACACACATCCCACAGCTCAGCACGATCTCTAGGGCTCTCCAGGGTTCACTCCTTTCATCTGATTTGTTCCCTCTCTCCCTCGCTGCTCCATCCACATTGATGTCCCCCAAATGTGCCAGGCACTCTCCTACCTGAGTCCATTTGCACATGCTGTTCCCTCTGCCTGGTACATACCTTTCCACCTTTTTACCTGCCTCCCTGATTACCTGTCGGCTTTTCCCTGCTACATCTGGGTCAGGAGCCAAAGCTCTGGGCTCCCGCCATTGCCTGGGTTTTGCGTGGTCACAGCCCCATCCCACTACATTGGGGTTCGCTCTTTTCCATTGTCTCCTGCAGGCTGTGAACTCCCTGAGGGCAAGGCCTGTATCCAGCGTCCCGCTGTGAGCCCAGGGTTGGCTCATTTCTGGCCCAGGCCAAGCCAGCACTCAGCAACGGTGTCAAGGATGCTAGGAAACTGGTCGTTGTCTTTTCTCTTTGTCAACAGCTCCTGTTTACAACCTTGCCGTCCAACCCTTAAGTTCTGAGCTCCTGACAAATCCCCTTTCCCTTCCCCTCAGAGGCAGGGACACTGGGTGGGGGATGACGAGAATGAGGAGAGGCTTCCCTAAGTGCAGCTTCCCTGGCAGGGGGCCCGCTGGTCCTCACTGGCTGGTCCAGGTCCCGGCCCCCTCCTGCTGGGTTTCCGTCTTGGGAATCATTTAAAAATTGCCCCCGGTGACTGTGCAGTGTGCTCTGGGGGCATCAGCATTTCCATTTTGTTCTGACAGGATATAATTCCTGCGGAGGCTTCCTGTCCCAACCTTCAGGGCACTTTTCCAGCCCATCCTACCCTGGGAACTATCCGAACAACGCCAAATGTGTCTGGGACATTAAAGTCCAAAACAACCACTACGTGACTGTCGTCTTCGGAGACGTCCAGTGAGTGCGGGTGCAAAGCAGAACTTGGGGGACCTCGCAGGGCTTCTGGAGGGAATGGACGGTGCCTATCCTTCCGGAGAGATGTTCGCCAGGGGGAGACTTGTTCTTGTGGGTTCTTGTGGGTCAACAGCACAGAGGCAGCCTGAGGAGGCGGGGCCAGGAGGAGAGCCCTGGTTTAAATCCCGGTTCTGTCGCTGATTGGCTGAGGGACTGTGGGAAATCAGGAAATCACTATCCTGAGCCTCAGGCAAAGAGGGGAGTGAGATATCTGCTTTCCTCCCCTCACCCATTCTGGGAAGGTCACCAGAGAGACACATGAAAGCACCTGTTAGCCAATGGGGGGATCGTTGTTAGGTGTAATAATAATGCAAGGAATCCTATTGACAGCCACACTAGTTATTTTGTATCCTTTTCTCTCCACTCCCTGCTTCTTTGGGGTGAGCCCAGGGGCGGGGCAGGGGTGGGGAAGTCCTGCTGCAGAGCTTGGGTTGTTCCTCATCCAATGCAGATGGGGGAGGAACATTGTTTCAGGCAGAGGAGACATCAGCAAAGACACATTAATATGTGATTGGTCCAAGGAGAGGGGCAACCATGCAGAGGCATCAGTATCCTCTAGTGTCCTGGAAATTGGGCCCCATAATTTCTTTTCTAATGGCCGTCACTGAAGAACTAGTTTTCTCTCTTGGTTTCTGGTTGCAGTGGCCTTGGGAGTCTCTGCTGTGGAAATTCATCTGGGGTTTTGCAAAAGACATTTTATTTTAATCTCCTCATCATTACACTCTCCTATGTCATTATAATTCATTTTGGATCCGGGGGACTTACGAAATTCCTTGGAGGAAAGTTGACCACCCTGGTTCTTTGGCCAATATCTTAGTGACAATGACCGAACCATTTGTGACATTTTATGAGGCCCTTTTCCACATACTGTTTCATTTGCACTTCACACCAGCTCTTGTCGGTATGTGTGGGTAGGAGAACTTCGCCTCTGTAAATACTTCACATCTGAGATTCAGAAAGGCTGTGTGATCTGCGCAATATTATTGTTCAATTATTTATTTCTCTCGCTATGAATTCATGGCTATTTATTTCGTGCCATGGGAAACTGGGGTTTTCTTGATTGAATGAAAAGCCTAAGGCAGGATGTGACCCCTTCCTTTCAAGATGCAAAGGGCTGTCAGGAGACCGCGTGTGGATTTCATACGTGGGGCCCAACAGGCACGACTGAGACCCATGCACGTAGGTCCTGGGAAGATGAGTCTCTGCTGGATTTATGGAAATCTGTTATTTTCAGTTTTAGTTTTGTCGGCATTTCTGGCACAGAGGTGTGACCCCTCACTGAGGTCTGACCTCCTGGGTCAAATCCTGGTTAAAAGTGAAGCCACAGCTGTGTGTTCTGTCTGCAGGCTGGAAGGCGGCTGTAACTACGATTACATTGAAGTGTTCGACGGCCCCCACCACAGTTCCCCTCTCATTGCGCGGGTCTGTGATGGGGGGTGGGGCTCCTTCAGTTCGTCCTCGAACTTCCTGTCCGTTCGCTTTGTCAGCGACGGCAGTGTCACAAAGAAAGGCTTCCAGGCCCACTACTACTCTCATCCTTCCGATGACAGCACTGGTAAGTCCCCCTGGTGAGGGCTCGCTAGCGGTGGGTGCACCTCAGAGAGCAGAAGCCGCTCAACCTTCTGTGGCTGTGAAATAAGAAATGAGAGCAGCCTTGTCAGGTCACCAAGGGGCCAGGAGCTGTGGGTCTTGGGACTCTGGCTGCCCAGAAACGAGGTCAAGGGTCAGAACTGGCCATGGGCAGTGTACTGGCCGTACGGTGGTGGCAGAGACTAAGTAGAAGGCGCAGGGTGATGCTTTCAGCATAGAGTGAGATGTCGCTGCCAAGGGCAGAGGTGACTTTGAGGCCTTGAAGCCTTGTGACCTTCCCAGCATGTGGGACGCTGTGATCATGTCCTGAGACCTGGCACATTTGGCTGCTGTCTGAACATGGACCGAGCTGGTCACTCAGCCACTTCCAGTGAGGCTAACGGCCGTGCTTTGAGCTGTGCAGGGGACTGACTGACAGACTGGCCAGGGAGGGCCAGGTGGTGTCCACGCTCCATCTGCAGTTGGGACTGTGAGCACGGACCTGCTCCCAGGGCTCGAGGACCTTACCTCACACCCCACAACTCAACCGGAGCGTTACTTTCCTTATGGGTAAATGGTAACTTGGCAAACGTTTCACTCAGCCACGTCCTGCCTCCATTTCTCCGTCAGAGGAATCCGGAGTCCCTGTGCCCTCACAGGGCTCTGCTGAGAATGGAGCTGACTGGGGCCATGGGGGTCCTGGGGGTCATGGGGAGGTGTGTCCCACGCGCACCATCCTTGTCGGACATCTGGATCTCTGCGCCTTTGTGTGGGAGGGGCTCCTCATGGCGCTTGTGCAGCTGGGGGTGCTGACTGACGCATTGTCTGCCCTTGGCCACCAGAGCTGCTTTGTCTGCCGGATCGCATGCAAGCCAGCGTGAACACGAGCTACCTCCAGTCCCTGGGCTATTCTGCCAGGGACCTTGTCATTCCCAGCTCGGGTGGGAGCAGCCAGTGTCAGCCCCAGATAACGTCGAGCCAGGTGACATTCACAATTCCGTACTCAGGCTGCGGCACCGTCAAGCAGGTGAGCCTGGGGCCTCCCACACTGTCTCCTGCTGGGCAGCTTTCTAATCATGATGTGTGCTGTGCTCCTTGAATGCTGGGGACACAGAAGACATGATTATGGGAGAACCAAAACATAATCGGGTGACGATATAGTTCTGTTTCTTGGTGCCATGGCGTGGCTGCAGCCACTTCTAAACAGACGGAAGGAGTGGGAGGGAAGGTCAGTAGGTGCATTATCAGCACTGTCCAGCACAGAGGGTGTCTGGCAGGCTGCCACTCACGTCAGCAATAATGAAGACAGCTCCCAGGGGTCGCTCCAGGTTCCATAGGGCCTGAAGCTTACAAGCTCTGGAGGTGGCATGGATGGGAGAGACAGGTGCCTCATTGAGCAAAAGAATGTAGACATATCTTACTTTTATAAATCGTACAAAAACATGTGGCTGTGCCAATATGTTGATTGCTTTGGAAGAAACTGTGCATATGAAGGGGGCCCTGAAACTTCAGCTCACAGTAAATCGGCCTCTGCAGCTGCCATTTGTTGATCTGTCACCATCTAGGGTGACCAACTGCATTGGTTTGCCTGGGACTTTTCAGATTTTAGCATGGAAAAGTCTCGTGTCCCAGGAAACTCCACGATCCTGCGCAAACTGGGATACTAGTCACCCTACAAGTGGCAGACGGTGGGAGTATTCCATGTCATACTCCACAAACCCCACCAAGTACTCTCTCCTTGTCACCCCACTTTAAAAATATGGTGGCTGGGCTTCCAGGGGTCAAGGCCAAGGCCACTCACCCAGGAAGTGATGGAGCCGACTCCAGACTCTGAGAATCTCAAAAATGTTACATTGAGTGAAAGAAGCAGACACACCAGGGGCCTTGTTCACCTGTGTCCTCTTGGTATTTGGGAGGGCAGCTCCCGGCCCAGTCCTTCATTCATCACAGCGCTTTTGCTGGGCTGCTGTCCCCTAGACCTTTCATCCATTCCTTGGATATTTACTGATGCTGCTGATGCTGTTGCTGATGCTCTACCAAGCCCTGGGAAGAGAGGGATACTTAGACATCACCCTTTCCTTCTGATGCTCACAGACCACCAGTCGCAGGCTCCCTCCACAGAAAGGTCACGTACAAGATGGTAGGCATGTCAAGCAGCATGAGAAACCGACATTCTCATGAATTTGCTGCCTGGTGAAAGGCACAGTGGCAAATGGCGCCATGGTCCAGGGAGTGAGAAAGCAGAGTGTGACAGGAAGTGCTCAGGTGGCCATGGCCCACCCCCTTGTCCACAGGAGCCTCTGGCGAGGTCCCTGCCCCAGAGGTAGAGACCTGCTGCAGCCTTGACTCCAGATCTCTGTTGCTCCAGCTCCAGCAGCTCCAGACTCCAAGCTGCAGTAACTACTGACCCAGCCGGAGCACAGGGAAACTGCTCCCGCCAGCCCCTCCCACAAGGACGGGACTGACCTCTCCCAGCAGCAGTGAGAAGGAAACAGCACAAGCCAGAACGGCCCTGAGCCAAGGGGTCCAAGCTCAGCTGAGTCACACAGCAGGGCGTGGGGTCATCCAGACACACCCTCTGCCCAGGAGGAGCAGCTCCCAGGGGGCCCCAACACCCGGCCACACTGTGGTCCCCCATATGGGGTGGAGGAAGGGGATGAGTGAGAGGAAGGAGTCCTGTCAGTCAGGCGGCGGGCCCCTCCCAGGCCATGGGGGCCCTGGCAGCAGGCATGTGCCATCTCCCTGTGGTTCTGGCGGGGTCTGAAGGCTTGTTGAGTCACTTTCCTCTCCTTCTAACCAAAGTCACCAATGAGCTCCCCTTAGCAGGTGACATTTGCCTGACTCTGCTCCCCTGCCTGCCTCTCCCAGGTAGATAACGATACCATCACCTATTCCAACGTCCTCAAAGCAGCTGTTTCAAGCGGCATCATCAAGAGGAAGAAGGACCTGCACATTCACGTCAGCTGCAAGATGCTCCGGGACACCTGGGTTAAGACGATGTACATCGCTAATGACACCATCGAGGTCACGGAAGTCCAGTATAGCAACTTTCATGTGAACATTTTCTTTTATACATCCTCTTCATTCTCCAATCGTGTGACCAGCAGCCCGTACTATGTGGACCTGGACCAGACTTTGTACCTTCAGGCTGAAATCCTCCATTCCGACACCTCCTTGGACTTGTTTGTGGACACCTGCGTGGCTTCGCCATCTTCCAGTGACTTTACGTCTCTGACTTACGATCTAATCCGGAGCGGGTAAGGAGTGTCTTCCTGGGGGGCACTTCAACCTTTGCCTGGTAACTCAAACACGAGTAGCCCAAAGGCTCAAGGAATGTAGGTTTTGGTCCTAGTCGTTCAGTCTTAACCAGTCAGGTTATCGTCTCTGGTTAACACACAGGGAGATGGGTGTCTGGAGAACTGAATGACTCGCCAGTGGTCACCAGTCAGGTTAGCTGTAAACTGGGATTAGACCCCGAGTGACCAAACTCCAGGCAAGCCTTTGTATTCAAAAGACATGCGTGCAGTGGGAAATCATTGCTTTTGGAGCAGATCAAGATTGAGATGCCAGCCCTGCCACACCCTAGCTGTATCACTCCGGGCAGGCAGTTGCACCTCTCTGAGCCCGTTTCTTCGCCCATCACATGAGCATAGTGATGCCCACATCATAGGCTGTTGGGAGGATTCAATGAGAAAGAGTAGATGGGGCCCTGGGCAAAGAGCATGCGCAGCAGGTGGTCCGCAAGGAATGTTGCGTCAAAGGCAGCAGAAGGTCCCTTGACCTCCATCAGCTGAGAATGGACGTCCTCAGAGTCCATGGTTCCAACCAAACTCAAGAGATGCAGAGGGGAGGCCAGTAGTGCCAGGCTGGGGTCAGTGGTGCCCAGGTTGGGGTTCTCTACAATTGTTCTGCTTCCCGGATGATGGACTCTGGTGAGTCCTGTCCTCTTCTGAGCTCATGGAGGGGTCCTAGGACCCCGGAGTGTGCACCTCTAGTCCCTTCTCTTTCATCTCTGTCCATTGGCGTGCGCACCATTTCCTGGCTTACGATTTGACCTTGGCTCCTCAGTAACAATTGCTTCATGTGGAAGTTGTACTGGGAGGGTCAGGGGCTGTGCTAGGAATTAGGGTTGGGAGGTTAAGTGTCACACCTGCCTGGACACTAAAAACAGCGTTTCTTCCCAGGCACAGTTTGAATACGTGCCAATTTGGTAAATGGGTATTGAGGCTTGTCTTTTTCACCGTCTAGGCAGTCGGTTCAATTCACAGCAGCCCCTTGGCAGCAAAGAAGGGAGAGTGGCTCACCCAGCTCCTCTTTCTACAGAGAGTAACAAGGTGATACCTGATTATGTCGAATGATTGAGGTTACTGCAAATGAGCGAGTGATTTATTTCTTCTTTGCTAAAGAATTCTTGTGGGTCAAATTTGGGCACATACATGCACAGAAGCTGATGGCGTTTTCTGGGGAGAGGGGGAGGTGCATGTGGGGGAAGATGTGTCCACTGTACCTGGAGCCCAGGGACTCATTAGCTGCACCTGACCGCCAACCACCTGGATGCCCATTAGAATGATCTGGAGCTTCAAACAACCCATGCCTGGGCCCTACCTGCACATTCTCTTTATTTGATCTGTGCTGGAGCTCGGGGATCTATATTTTAAAAATGTCCTGGGGAGATTATGAAGTGCAGCCTGGGTTGTGCAGCTCTGGCTCGCAGACCGCAGACTGATGTGGGTTTATGGGAAATGCAGTTCCTGCCCGGTGGCCCCTGAGCTTCCCCGACCTCGTTTACGACTGTCCGACCTCCTTGTGGGTCTTTGGGGACTTTCTCTCCCACCTTTGTTGCTAAAGTGAATACTGTGGAAAAAGAACTTGGTATCTGAATGTGAGTTGAGAGCAGAGGAAGGAAGCTCTGGAAGGCAGAAGCAAGACAGCAAGTGGACCCTGGGTCACATCTCCAGGCTAGTCAGGATGCCCGGGCGACACCTGCCATGCATCCCCAAAACTTTCCACCCTGAACCCCATGGGCAGGGTCCTTGCTGTTGTCTTGGCCGCATCGCCTGGAATCTTCCCGTCAGTGCTGCATGCGGTCAGTGTGAGCTCCTTCTCAGCTGGGTGGAGCTGGGAGATGCGCCTTCCCCGTAGCTGAGTAAAATCTCTTTCAGCGGATCCTTAGGTAATGATCCTTGTAGCACCAGCAGAGATGAGGTGCCGGAGGGATTGCGGAGTGCTTGATATGAGGGCCGGGCGTCCTGGAGGGTACCCGGCGCATGAGGAAAGCACGGCTGCCCGGGGTGCAGGGCAGGGCGAGGTGGTCAGGAGACAGCCCTGGACAGGGAGGGCACCAGAGACACCAGAGAGCAGTCGAGTGTCACCCGGCCTGGCCCTGAGACCAGGAAAGGGAAGGAAATGTCATCTTCCTTCCTGCCCCTACTCTGGGCCCTGTCACCTCCTGGACTCACCTGGGCTCCCTGGGGCCATTGAGCACATGGTCACAGAGCACCCGCTGTGCACTGTGGACCTGCTTGTCTGCGTGGGAACCCTGGGCTGAGTTGCTGCGTTAGGATGCTGCTGACGTCCCAGAGCTGCCAGGACGTCCCTGCAGGGCTGGCAGTCAGTGTCTGGGCTACGCATTCAGAGGGTGGATCGGAGGGGCAGCGGGGGCCCGGGCCTTGGACTTGCCTGCCTGGGGCATCCGAGTCCTGAAGAGCACAGGGTGCTGGTGAGAGCTCACGGGTGACTCTTCTCTGCTTCCAGGTGTGTGAAGGACACGACCTATCAAACTTTGCCCCGGCCGTCGCCCCGCGTCGCCCGCTTCAAGTTCAGCTCCTTCCACTTCCTGAACCGCTTCCCCTCCGTGTACCTGCGGTGCAGGATGGTGGTGTGCAAGGCGGACGACAACTCCTCCCGCTGCCACAGGGGCTGTGTGGTGAGGTCCAAGAGGGACGCAGGCTCCTACCAGGAGAAGGTGGACGTCGTCCTGGGCCCCATCCAGCTGCGGGCCCCGAGCGCCGAGTAGAGGAGCCTGGGTAGGTGGCCCTCCTGACCCACTGCCCACCAGGACCCAGGCCTGCAACACCTGGGGACTCGGGATGTCTCTGTGGGTGTCACATTCCACCTCAGATTGCGCACCTACTGTGTGTCAGGCATGCTGTGCTACGCCGGGCCATGCGGAGTTGCTTCCGGCCTTCTTCCAAGGGCTCCTGGTCTATGGGGACCCCTGTGTGGGGTTTGGGCATGGGAGTTCTGACCTGGGACACAGACACAGCTGTTCCCCTTATCCCCTGGGTCTGAACTCCCAGAACCTCACGCTCCTCACCTGTGAGAAAAAAGTGTTAATGCTCACCTCTTAGGACTGTTGAGAGAATTACAAAAATGTGTTGGTTAAGTGGCCTTGGCCTCTGCCTGGTAGAAGTCACTGGGTGCGATGACCGGTGGTTTTCTTACTGTTGTCATTGTCACCGATATTAACAACATTACTGATAACATTATTGCTCGTGACAATAGCAACAACAAGTTAGGCCCAGGGGTAATGACATCAGGGCGTGGAGGCTGTGGGGACGCTGGCAGGGTTGTTCTATTCTGGCTGCCCGCAGGGCCGGACACTGGACAAGCCACTTCATTTCCTCCTTTGGGACGGGGACTGTGTTTCCTGCTGTGCTGTCTTGTTGTGGGTGTGGGTGAGGAAGTGTTCGCAGAGGGATTCCCGGGATTTCTGGTCTGGGCCGGGGCCAGGTCAACAGACGGGGGGCCCTGGTGACAGGGGCACGTGTGGGCTAGCAGTAGTTGTCACAAACCCTCCCCTTGGTCATAGGGCTCCATCCCATGGAGCATCTTTGATGGCTGTCTCTCCTCCTGTCCCCAGATCAGGCCATCCCCATGTCCGGATGATCTAGGCTCTTTTCTCACTCTTCATCCCATGCACTTTTTTTTTTTTTTTCCTGAGGAAGATTAGTGTAGTCCTGAGCTAACATCTGCTGCCAATCCTTCTCTTTTTGCTGAGGAAGACTGGCCCTGAGCTAACATCCATGCCCATCTTAACCTACTTTTTATATGTGGGACGCCTGCCACAGAATGGCTTGCTGAGCAGTGCCATGTCCGCACCTGGGATCCAAACTGGCAAACCCTGGGCCGCCAAAGCAGAACGTGCGAACTTAACTGCTGCTCCGCTTGGCCCCTCAGGCATGTTTATTGAAGGCCTGTTAAGTGCCAGGCAACAAATTCCTAAACAAACAGAAACAGATCAAAATCCCCGCCCCTGTGGAGCTGACACTGGGCAGGAGGGGATGCAATTCAGAAATGAGTCACATACGTTGATTGTGTGACACCTCTGCTGGGAGTCGGAGCTACAGAGAAGAGGACGGCGGGTGGGTGATGGGTGACAGGGATGCTGCTCGCGTCTCTCCTCTCCCTTCTCTCCCCTCAGCGCTGCAGGAGCTGGGGCCTGGGTACCTCCTGCCTGTGACTCTGCACCCATTTCCCAGCTGGCCTCAGTGCCCCTGCTCTCTCCCCTCCCGTCTATCGGGAGCCTCCATCCAGATTTGACCTCCCAAAGCCCAGCTCTGACTTCCCGCCCCAAAACCTGCTCTGACTCTGTTGGCTGACAAGACAATGAAACCTCCCTGGGTTGACCTTCCACTGCCCTTTGGAGCCTGGCCTCAGTTTCCCCTCAGCACTTCTCTCTCCTATTCTTTTCCTGTCCCACCAGACAGACAGTTCTGATTTCAATCACGGCCCTGGGACCCCCACCTGACTTGTCCCCCCATCTTTCTCCCCTGGGCTCATCGTGACGCCGACCCTCTTCTCCTGGTCCCTCTCCTTCCCAGATGGGCCGGTGGCTGACGTGGAGGAGCAAGCCAGCACCCAGGGGAGCTACCACAGCGTTGCCATCTCTGCTGGGGTCTTCCTGGTTGTGGTCCTGGTTTTGGCAGCCTTCATACTGGGGAGGAACACCCGCGCCACCAGTGGCCAGCCTCGGATTCTAAGATGTGAAGCCAGGAGAACACGCACAGCACTCAGTCATTGACCCCATATACTTCGGTACCCACGACAAAGGAAGAAATGAGTGCCCGGAGCTTGGCACCCAGCAGCACCCCACCTCTGTCCACTCTGGCCCAGGCACATGGAGGGGTGGGTTGAGGTGGGGCAGAAAGATGGGAGCAGGTTTCCCAGGAACACAGGTTCGGTGCTGAGACAAAATGTCAGGCAAGCAGGAGCCGGTGTCTAAAATCCTGCATGCAGCCGTGAGCAGAACTTTCTCTGTAGTAGTAGCAGCCGAGCTTTCTCTGATTGACTTGCTATTCTGATGTTTATAAATCAGCTTCTCAGGCCTGTAGTGTAGATCTTAGCTTTTCCATTTATAGCACAAACTGAATAAAGAGCTTTTTTTGATGCAAGTGTTGATTTGGTCGTTGTTTCTAGTGGCTCACCTAAGCACTGATCCCTTCAAAGTAAGCAGAGTCGTAGGGTGGGCTGTCACAAGGAAAGGTAAAGGCCAGCGTGCTCTGCCCTGTGGCTTCCAGAACCTTCTAGGGAATAGATAAGGTTTCCCCCATTGACCTTGGCATGTTTGGGTTCTCCCGAAAGCAGGAAACACAGGGTGCAGGCTAAAGAAAGACCAGAATGCTAATGGCGTCGTGATATTAAAATTCAAGGTGATTGCCTCCATTTCTCCAGGAAGCTGTGCACCTTCTGGTGTTGACATCACATCCAGAACTGTGGGCTGAGGGGTTAGGGAAGAGAATAAACTCTTCAGGGCCCCTAGGATCACAGAGCATTGGACTGGGCCGCCAGGAGGCCTGTTAGCATGTGATCGCCAGGGAGCAGTGGATTGACGGGTGACCCCAGGATCTAGGAGAAACAAAGGGATGAGGTGATTTCCAAAGAGGCAGTAAATTTGCCAGAAAATGGGAGAGAAGCCAGACCCTGGGCCCCTCGGTCAGGCTTGGGAAGAATGGGAGCTTTTGCCTACAGCCTTGGCAATGCCAACATTTGCTCCTCTGAGCCAGGCTGAGGACCCTGCCCCAGGAGGGGACTGCTAAGATGAGCCTCACTCCAGAGGAGTGCCTTAAGCAGGGTGAGACCCAGCAGGGCAGCGGCTGCAGGAGAGCCCCCAGGACAGGGGCCGGAGATTCCAGCAGAGTTGTGGCCACTGCAGCCAGCTGACTAAGGCTCACCGACAGCCTGGGACACTGGTGAGAAATCTCAGCCTCCACGGGATGCGGGTGACCCCTGAGCCCTGCCATGGGCAGAGGAGTGAGGGGCCCTGGGGATGTTACCTGTGTCCAGTATCCTTGCCATCTTAGCCCCCACTCATCCAGCTCATCCAGGCTGGAAGAAGGAGGAAAGCATTGAGGGTCCCCGTGATGGAAAGCCTGCCACACAGAGCAATGAAAGCCCAGTGAAATATAAGCACCAGGCCCGGGATCTGAGCGGATGTGGAGAAGCAGCATTCTGGAGCTGACACGTGGCTTTGAAATATACATCAGAGGAAAAAAGCAGCAAGTTGGACATCCAAGAACTGGAAGAATGTCCAGTGCCTGTGAGCCCACACAGGACTCTGACTTCCTTCATTCCTTCATTCATTCCATCAGATGCTGGCCCCAAGCCAGGTTCCATGCTTGGCTCTGGGGATACAGTCAGGGGATGACAAATGGCCCTGCCTTTATAAAGGGGAACTTGGTCCCACCAGACTCCGCCTGGAATCTTCTCTCTCATTGGGAAGAACCCCTGCCCCTCAGGAACCAGCCGTCCCTCACAGATGACCACTATGTCCAGGTTGGTTCCTGGCCATGGGCTCCTCTCAAGGGAAGAGATCGTGGCCCTTTCTGAGCACAAGGCCGGGCTCTGAATGTGATGAGTGAACTGGTGGTGACGTGGCCAGCAGGGAACAGGTCAATGTGGACGCTGGGGCTCCAGCAGGGGAGGGCTGGGGCAGACTACAGGGGCACACACAGCACCACCAGGTGGCTCAGGGGAGGAGCATGCAGTGGGTGGGCAGAGCCAAAAGCCATGACAGGTATGCAGGAGGTTGGGTGACAGCCTACTGGGCCCAGGCAGGTGGGTGGCTAATGTGTACAGATGAGTCTGGGAGCAAGAGACAGTGAGGTCCAGGTGAGAGGCAGAGGCAGGAGGCACAGGCATGGGAGACAGGGCTCTGGGTGGAGGCTGTGGGATGAGGCACGGCCCAGGCACAGAGGGATGGGAAAAGCTGGCCAGGCGTGGGAGTAGGGACCCAGCGTCCATCCTCGCCCTGTGCAGGGTGGGGCTGACACCAGGCTGCTGCGCTTTCCTGCAGCTGAGACTGCGGTTTAGGACGGGGCTGCTCAACCCTAGCTGCACATGGGGGCGACCTGGGTGGGGGCTTTAAAGCTGCTGCTGCCAGAGGGCACCCAGAACACTTCGATCAGGATCTCTGGGGGTGGGCCTGACCTCGGTGATTGAAAATCCCCAGGGCGTGCCCATGGAGCCAAGGCGGAGAACCGTGGCTTAGGATCCCTTCAATCCCTCTCAAGAGGCCAGTTTTGCCGGCTCCTGAGAAGGAGCAGGGGAGGGAAGGGTCCCTCCTGTACAGACAGGAGGACTCTGGGGCGGGGCCAAGCCCACTGGCCCTGAGCGCTTCCTAAAGAGGCACTTCCCTTTCGGAATAGCTACTCCACCTGAGCTGTGACAGACTGTCTTATTCCTCCCTAAAGCCCTTCATTTGGCCGACCTCATTGCCTCCACCTGTGCTACCAGTAAGACTACGGCATGGAGGAAATTTGGACTGAGCTTCTCTTCCCAGCCAGACACCTGCCAGGCACCTCAGACATGTGAATCGCAGGCCCCATGAGAGCTGTGCGGGTCAGGGGTTATCATTCCCTCTGGCAGGGATGGAAACCAGAGCCCAGAGAGGTGACACAGCACAGAACACAGGCACGATCCTGGGTAGGGAGAGGCAGAGCTCGCCCGGATTCCTGTCCGAGGACGCCTAGTGCCAGGTTCTCCTCCCTCCTCTGCCCCCAGCCCCAGGCCCCCAGGAGCCCAGGGGTACCGACTTCACAAAAACATTGCACATCTTACTGCATCCTGCACTCCTGTCTGCAGCTGTACAAGTGTGGAACGCTTGCAGGCGAGGGCCAGGTGCATAGGGAGGGGTTTGTGGATTGCTGTGACTTCTCCATCCATCTACAGCCCAGCTGGGCATGGGGACCTCTCACTTTACCTGGTTAAAATGACAACATTTATCTTTGTTTTTGGTGTTTTCCTTCCCTTTATCTTTAATGTTTTGCCTGAGTGTTTGCTAACCTATTCTTCTAGAAAGCTCCAATGTTCTGATTTGTCTACCTATTCATCTCCTTACTCAGGGCTTTTCCTGTCATATGTCTGTGCTGAGACCAGTGATCAATCTGATGTTGGAGAAAACCGATTGAATAAATTTTCAGGAAAGAAACTTCCACTATCCTTATATGGAAGTTTTACCATTTCAGGGACCCGAGCAGGCGCTTGGTACCAAGACACCTGGCTGCAATCACAGGGCCCCCACGGGTGACACGCACTGGGGCTGATCCTCATGACGTGACGCAGTGGGCACAGCTCAGCCGAGGATTCAGGCGACCCCGGGTCACAGTCCTCGTGGCCATCAGTGGGATGGCTTTGGACGAGTGACTTACTCTCCCCAAGCCTCAGGTTTCTCATCTGTAAAATTGGCAACCGAATACCCAACCACATAGGGCTTTCTCCAGATGAAATTTGACAACCTGTCTGAAGTTTTCAAAGGAGTTCCTAGAGTGTGGTAGCTGCTGAGTAATGTTAACTGGCTGCACCATTCTTATGTCCCGAATTGTCACATTATCTTGATCCAAACTTATAAATGAGCAAACCAGAGTCAAAATGGGTGGAATGACCTACCTGAAGCCGCATGGTAAGCGGGGATCAGAGCAGAGACTAGAACACGCTTATTGTCACCGCTCTGGCTCCTTCTGGCCAGAGATTGACTGGACTTGTTGGCATACAATGACATCAATAAAGAGAAAAGATTCTTTTTCTGAAGGATACATTTTCTGAAGGAACCATTCCTTGGTTTCTGCCTCCCCCCTACTGTCAAATGAGGCAGTGTGGGCCCGGCCGCCCAAGCTCGGCCTCCACAACCAGAGCAGAGATGAGAGCGCTGCCCGTCTCCATCTGACGAGAGACAAGTTGCACACGGCGTGCTCTCAGTCCTGGGAGGTCCCCTGCTCCTATCTGTACTTCTACCCTTCAAACCTGATCCCTCATCCCTCATCCTTACTTAGCCAGGAGCATGACTCATGTCAGGGGAGAGGGACCAGGCTCTCTCTGGGGTTTAATAAGAGAATAGGGAGCACATTCTATCAGTGCACATACAAATGGTGCCCTTTATACTGATTTTCCTCTTGGCCCAGCTTGAGTCCTTCATGCTGTGTAGGACAGTCAGACCCTAAAAACGTTTAAAGGACACAATAGAGTGTAGGAAAATTTTACAGAATAATGTCTCCTTTGACTACTGAAGAACGGTAACACATTTAATGCCTGTAGATTGCACCCTTGGTCCTCTCCTCAAACTCTTTCTTGCCTTGTTTCCCAAACATGATGCTTTCACACCTTTCTTTTTCAGATTCCTGGGGTCTGGCTTCGGGAGACGGGCTAAGACCTATTTGTGTGCAGCTGTCTCTAAGGTGTCCTTGATCCTACAGAGCCCCTTGTAACCCAGTGGAGTCAAGGCCCGGGCAGGTCTGGAGGGGCAGGGGCCCTCAGTCACCCAGATTTCCTGCTCTGCCTCAGCCCCTCTGTGGGCTGCGTGTGGCTTTGCTCCAGAATTGATGGAAATCTGGCCCCATGTTCAAGTCTGTGAACCACCCTGGGAGGAAATGCTCTCAATTACTGATGCATCGGTGATGCCTTCTGTGACCTTTTCACTTCATTCACTCATTCAAGAATATAACTTGTACCCTGAAGTTAGAGTTCCCGTTGTGGCAGACCAAACCAATCAATGAGCAAATGATACTGTATGCTTCACATTCTGCCTAGCTTTGCATGGGGTAACTGACAGGTGAAAGGAGAGAGACCCGGCTACCTGGGGGACGTCAGGGAGACGTTATGGAAGAGTCAGTCCTCAAGCTGAATCATTAAATATGCATAGAAGACCCTAGGCGGAGGGCAGGTGAGTCTGGGACGGGTGAACGACGCAGTCCAATCACAGGGGACAGTGTGAGCAGAGTGTGGTGCTGCTAAACAGTCTGGGGGTGCAAGGCGGAGTCTGTGATGGCTCCACACAGAGTGGGGTCCAGAAGGGAGGGGGGTCAGAAGGGAGCGGAGAGCCAGGCTCCAGGTCATGAAAGAATTTGAAACCCATGCCCAGTTGAGTAAAGTTTACCCAGAAGGCAGGGAGCCCGTGAATGGTTTCAGCCAGGAGTGAAAAGCGAGTCAGGCTGTGCCTTAGATGCCTGTGCTGGACGTGTCCAGGGCGAAGGAATCCAGTTACATCACAATAAAATACGCCTCTCTGACATAAAAATAATTGGAGCTGAAGGAAATTAACAATCAGCAAAGGAAGGAAGAGCTTTCTCCCCTCCCTCTCTCCTGCCTGAGGTGGATGGAAATGCTCCTCTGGGGGAGGTCCGGCCTCTCCTCAGCCCAGAGGCTGCGCCCCAGGAATCTGCAAACAACCTTACTCTGCTAGTTTCCTCCCACGTGTTTACCTTCCCACCGTGGGCCTCGTTGGAAACCTAGAACCACTTTCTTTTCTCCTGTCATTCCTCTGCAAATTTATTGTTCTTTCCTGAAGATGCTCCATAAGCGGGAGTCCTTAGCCACCACTTTGAGTTACTCATTCCCTTTCCCTGAGTTTTCTCCCGTGTGCATGTGAGGTAAACGTGTGAGTCAACTTCTGTTTGTTTTTCCCTTGATAATCCGTGTTGTGTACAGTCGAGAACTCAGAAAAGCAGGAGAAAAAATTTTTCCTCCCCTCCAGAAGAGGGTGAACCAAAGAGGCTGGGGTGGAGTCTTCCTGGAATCTACAGCAACATCAGCAAAGAAAACACGTCCTGACTCTCCTTGAGGAAGGAAATGCCAGAAGGACGTGCTACGAAGGCTTCACCTGTGTGCTCCAGACACAGGCATGTTTGCTCCCTGGAGTGTTGGTGAACTGGCCTGAGGAGTTTGTGAGGAGGCCGCACACTCACCAGGCTCTGCAAACAGAGCACAAGAACTCGGAGGCAGTCCAGGCAGCGCCAAGCCTGGGAGGAGCCATGCCACTTGCGGGCCCCACGCCTTGTTGATTCTTCTTACTTCCTGGTTGGTGAACAAAATGCAACATGGATAACTCAACTGATGACCCCACAACCAAGCTGTACCTTTTGTTCTATTTCTCTTGGAGATTTCCTTTTTTTTTTAATGATTTTATTTTTTCTTTTTCTCCCAAAGCCCCCCAGTACATAGTTTTGAATTCCTAGCTGTGGCTCTCTCCAGCCGCGGCTTGCGGGACGCCGACCCAGCACGTCTTGACGAGCAGTGCCATGCCCGCGCCCAGGATCTGAACTGGCGAAACCCCTGGCTGCTGAAGCCGAGCACGCAAACTCAACCAGTCGGCCACGGCGCAGCCCTGAGACTTTTTTTTTTAAAGATTTTATTTTTCCTTTTTCTCCTAAAGCCCCCCGGTACGTAGTTGTATAGTTTTAGTGGTGGGTCCTTCTAGTTGTGCTATGTGGGACGCCACCTCAGCATGGCCTGATGAGTGGTGCCATGTCCGCGCCCAGGATCCGAACTGTTGAAACCCTGGGCTGCCGAAGCAGAGCGCGAAATTAACCACTCGGCCACAAGGCAGCCCCCTCTCTTGGAGATTTTTGAGGACCCATGTCTATGTAGTACAAGTTACTTTTGATGACTGGGCAGCTGAAGAAGCATAATTTCCCTCATCAAAACACTCTCTGTCATCAACCCCATTGCCAGATTGGTGAGTAGAAAGTCAGCATGAGGGGCCGGGCCCATGGCCGAGTGGTTAAGTTCGCGTGCTCTGGTTCAGCAGCCCAGGGTTTCGCCAGTTTGGATCCTGGGCGTGGACACGGCACCGCTCATTGGGCCATGCTGAGGTGGCGTCCCGCATGCCACAACCAGAAGGACCCACAACTAAAAATATACAGCTATGTATGGGGGGGATTTGGAGAGAAAAAGCAGAAAAACAAAAAAAAAGATTGGCAACAGTTGTTAGCTCAGGTGCCAATCTTTAAAAAAAAAAAAAGAAAGTCAGCATGAACAGCTCATTCCTGCCACCTTGAAGGGACTTTTCATATTCAGGTCAGAGAAAAAGCCACTAGGCAGTTCTCCTGCCCCAAGAGAAGCCTCACCCGTCAGAGAAACGGAGCCCATCTCACTGTCAACACGAGGGGAAGAGGATCCAACTGCAAAGGAGGATGGAAATACCCCCTTCCTCAAGGGTGTTATCGGATAAGGTGTGTCATGTTTGTGAGGTGCTCAGACCCACCCAGCAGCTCCCTACGTCCCAGGCTAATAAGTAACAAATGAGCAGCCAGCATCAGGAGGAAAGCTCTCTTTGCTCTACCCACCCCTCATGCAGCAGTCATGGCCTCTCCCTGGGCTGCTCGGGTTTCTGTGACGAAGACGCTGACGCCCCCTAGCTCTCCAGGACCCAGGCGTCAGAGGACTTGATCCTCCTTGGGCTCCTGCTCTGTCAAGAAGTGGCCTCTCTCCCCTCCTGGTGAGGCTGTGAGATGGAGGGGGGGCGGTGCCCTCTGTGCCAGGGAAGGGTCGGGGCCTGAGGTGGATGCACGTGGAGCAGAGCCATGCGAGGTCCCACCTAGTGTCTGAGTACCTCAAGCACTCAGTCCAGCATCCTGCCCACCAAACCCAGCGCAGGCTTCTGCCAGCCAGAAACGCCCAGAGGGACCTCGAAGGAAGACCTTTCTCTCTTTCTCCTTGAAATTACCTTCTTTGTTGAGTCCGCATTTGCTCATATGGAGCCTTCTGATCAGAACATTCTACTCTGGCCTCTCCCAACTCCCCGTGCTGGATGGCCTGGCTTGAGCACCACCCACCATCACTGTGAAACCCATGTGACCCCTCCAGCTGGGGAGTAAGCCCTCCAGCAGCGTCTGCAACTCCACCCTCTGCCTGATGGTGGCGACATGGAGCATATGCTTTCCACGCCACTGTTTGAATTTTTGAGTGACTTCCTTCAGTTCTCAAATGAATGAAAAGTGTCTCAGGATGAAGGACGTGTATTGCATGTTTCAGTTTTCACAGGATGTAAATGACTGGTTGAAACCCAGACTATAATGAGATTCCATAAGTGATGACTTTCTTGTTTAGAATAGATACATTATAGATAAATGTGTATATATGTTTGTATGCACATATATTATTGTATAAAATATGTATGGTAAACATTCTGTATACTAATACTATATATACTATACATTCATATAAATATAATAGAAATTTCCAAAGGGATTATAATAAGATCAATAAACGGAAAGATATCTTCTGAGAGATATATGCCACATAATCCAATTAAAAAGAGTTTTCATATTGGGTGTCTCCAACCCCAAGATCTGGGCTTGCAGAGATGTTGGGATAGAACCTGAAGATGTTTCTGAGAGGGTCACTGGGTCACAACGACTCTCTCTTACCGAGCGACGGTCCAGTAGATGTTTGGCTCAACTTTATTTCAAGAGTCACACAAATAGCTATATGCCCAACACGCCACATAGCCTGGCATGGAGAGTGGAGGGCGCCTCAGCAGTGCCCCTGCCCCCGACTGCCCTCTGGTTCCCCATAGTAATACACATCGAAAGAAGAGGCTGGGTGGTCGGGTTTCCTGGTGTACTTGACAGTCAAGATGTTGGAGGAAGATCGAAAGGTGAGACCTAGACCTTCACAAATCTTCCCATAGCTAGCAGATCCTGGAGGCCCATCTTGGATTTCCACATACTCTTTAAGACAGGTGAGGCTGTTGGGGCAGAGGGAAAGGCAGGCATCAGCGTTTGGAATCACCCTCCCTCCAGCAGGCAGCCTCTCTCCACCAGGGACTGGACAGGGTTGCACCATTTGCTCATGAGAAGTGCCAGTCCTGGAGCGATATGGGAGGGAAAGTCATTCATTCTTTTGAAGAGAGGACAGTCACCCCAGGACCCTCCCACCTCCCTGGGAAGTCTTCCCCTCCACCGGGGCTGCAGGGCACCGTGACTTCCAGATGTCCTGGGAAGCCCTCCCTGTGACTCTGGGATGCCCACACAGGAAATTTGGATGAGAGCCACTTGTCTTTCAGGCCCCTTGAGTGTAACACTTCAGCCAACAAGTGGTATGTTCTTTGGTCACTGACAATTGTGTCACACTGAATGGCCCCAGACATGAGTGTGTGGATGCCACTCCTGCTTTGCCCTACACCACCCTGGCAGATGGGCCCAGCAACCCAAGTGTGGCCTCCATGACCAGCAGAGGTGAGGGGGGCATCCGTCTCTACCTCCTGTGAGAGAACCTGCTCAGGGGATTGTCACCCTTCTGCTGAGGTCTCCCAACCCTTCCTTCTACCCTTCAAGACCTGATTCCCCGTCCTCATCCTCACTCTGCCGCAGCATGTCTCACACACAGGAGAGGGGCCAGAGTGTCTTTGATTTACAAGAAGACAAGGAGGGGACCTCCCACCAGGACACTCACAGCACCCTTTATACTAGTTTGCTCTTGGCTTGAGTACTCTGGGTGCCAAGGACAGTCACATCCAATGTCAATCTTTGAAAAGGACAGAGACAACAAGTGGAAGATTTCAGAATGACCCATCCCTTTGAGCCTTAGAGAAATGCTGAGGCAGAAAGTGCCTGAACCCTTCGTCCCTGGGGCATGGTTTGTGGAGATGGCCCAAGCCTCATTTTGAGGCAGCCATCTCTAAATTGTCCTTCAGCCCGCAGAGCACCTATGTGACCCAGTGGGAGTCCCAACCCTGTAGCAGGTCTGGAGGGGCAGGGGCCATTAGTCACAAGATTACATCATCTGTCTCAGCCACCATTGTGGGCTGTGTTTGGCTTGGTCTGGAGTGAAGGAAATGTGACTCCCATGTTAAAATGTGTGAAGGACGTTCAGGGATATTAATGCAGTTACTCATTGCTACATTGCAAATGCCTACTGACACCTTATCACTTCATTCACCCTTTCATTCATTCGTTCACTCATTAGTTAAAGAAATATTCCCTGAACTCTGAAAATAGATTTCTATTCTAGCAGACTCAAACAATCATATAGGCAAGAGTACTATGACTCTAAATTCCATCCAGAGTTTGGCATGGGGTAACAGATGGGGCACAAATGAGAGAACGATCAGGACAGCTGTGGAGAGTCAGGACAGGGGTGTTACGGAAACGTTTGTCCTGGAGCGAAATCAGGGAATAAAAATGAGGACCCTAAGCAGTGGGCAGGTGTGTCTGGAGGAGGTGGAAGGATGCATTGGAGGCAGAGGGGACAGTGTGACAAGGCAAGGAGCTGTTGAATCGTCTGGTGTGTCCACAACTCAGTGTGTGATGGCTCAGCACAGAGAGGCCAGAGGGGAGAAGTGGTTAGAAGGGAGGGCAGATCCAGCAGTCATCGTGGAGGAATTGGAAAACCATGCAGGAGAGTGAACTTTATCCAGAAGACAGGGAGCCTCTGAAGGGTGTTCAGCGGGCAGTGAAATGGAGCGAGAACGTGTTGTAGATGCGTGTGCTGGATGGTGAAGGGTGCACCGGAAGAGGCCAAGATGGACTCCTTCCTATAAAACAGCAGCATCAGCACCAAAAACACATCCTGAGCACTCACTTGAGGCCCGGTATTGCCATAGCAACGTGGAGACCTGGGGTCATCTGGATGGTCCAGACACAGACAGTTTTTGGTCCGATGTAGTTGGAGATCCTGCCCGACAGGTCTGTGAGGAGGCCGCCGCAGTCACTATACCCTACAACAGAAGACAGGGTTCCAGGTTGCCCAGAAAGAGCTCCAGGCCCACAAGGGACTGTGTCATCCCTGGGCCCCACACCGCTGTTGATGGTCCCAACTTCCGGGTCCCCACACACAACCCAACATCGATGATCCAAGTCTGCTGAGCCCACAATCAGGTGGCTTTTGTCTTTTACTCCTTTCAGAACTCTTTAGGGACCTATACTCATTACTACACATTGCTTTAAACGAGTGTGAAAAGAAATTTAACACTTCTTCGCCAAACATTGCTTATGCTCAACAGCATTGCCAGATGGGGAGCAGAGAGTCACGCAAACACCTCCTTTCTGCCTCTCTGAAGACCTGGTCCTGGTGCAGCCTGAGAAGCAGCAAATGGGCAGCTCTCCTGCCCCAGAGAGGCCTGGCCCTCAGAGATGAGAATCCCCCTCCTATCAAGACCCGTGGGAGGGGCTCCACACCCTGCTCAGGGACAGCTCAGCCTCCAAATGTGTAAGTGAGGATAAAAACAGCGCCTTCCTCAGGGCTCAGGGAAAGGGGGACATAATACCATCTGCACTTACCTTTGTTCTGTGCAGTAGAAACCAGGGCAGCTGAAAAGAGATCAAGACAGCAAAATGAAGTGAAAAGCTGGAAGGTACTGATGGTCAGGGCTGGAGAGTGGAAAATGCACACGCAGTGGAGAGGAGCTGCTGCCAAGGGCTGGTGCTGAACACCAAGAGGAGACAGCATCGCTGTCCTCATTGCTGGGGGCAGTCCTGGGCACACAGAGGGAAGGGCAGCAGGAAGGTCTGGCCCTCAGTGTTCAAGGACTAGCTCAGTCAGCTGCTTTCTGCTTCTTCTCCAGTTCCACTCAGTTAAAGTACAATGTCCCCACTCTGGAGCCAAGTCCAAGAGGTCAGTCTGAGGAGGGTGACCAACGTGTCCCATTAGCCCAGGAATTTCCCAGTTTTAGCACCAAAAATCCCTTCTCCCAAGAAACCTCTCAGTCCGGGCCAAACCAAGACAGCTGGTCACCCTAACAGGACACGAACATTTCTTGTAGATTCTGTAATGAGACCAATGACCAATCTGATGTTGGAAAAAACTGACTGAAGAGAATTGTCATCTGAGGAGAAACGAAGTGTCTGAATTATGGAAGTTTCTCTGTGTCAGGGACCCGAGTTAGGTGCTTGGATCCAAGAGACCTGACTGCAGTCACACAGCCTCCCACGGGTCACCTGCACGGGAGATCGTCCTCATGATGCGGCGCAGTGGGCACAGCACAGCTGAGGGATGGGACGGCCCCGGGTCACAGTCCTGGGGACACGAGAGCAGGGTGGCTTTGAACGAGTGAGCTCCTCTCCCTAAGACTCAGGCTACTCACCTGTACAATGGGAGTCTCAGCAATGACGGCCTCGTAGGGTCCAGGAGGACCATCCACAGCCCACTGCTCAGGGCCGCGCACAGGAGAGCTCTCCAAGGTTACCGTCACTGTCAACATCCCCAAACTAGATGACAGTGCTTTCCTCGGGAAATTAGAAATCAACCAATGCTCTAGAGCCTGTCTGACAAGAAGGCTCAACTAGGACCCTGTGAGTCCATCTCCAGCTTCTCCCTCGCCCTGAGGCTGCGTGGGTCTTTGGGGCACCATGAGGGGTCTCCCCACACCTGGGTGTCCATCAGCCCTGCCTGGGAAGATATAAATCATGGATGCCAGACAGCAGGCCTCTAGTGCCGAACCCTGACACCTCCCTGTCACTTCGAGGGCCACCTCTGGCCTGGACCACATCTGCAGTGAACTCCGCTGACCTGACCTCAGGGCCAGGCTGGAGGCCAGAGAACGCATTGCCCCTGGAGGGAGTTCAGAACACGTCACCGCAAAGCATGCTGCTTTGTACAGTAGGCCACAAATAATGGCATATTGCTGATTTTGAGCTGAAGCTACTTGAGAAACAGGCGATGCAGGAAGGACTCTGATTTACCCCTTTATACTTAAAAACAGTCCATAACGTTTCCCCAGAGAACAGTGCCCTCCCTGTACCAGGAGACAGTAAGGCGCTCATCACCAGAGGCTGGCATGGCGCTGACACGGGTCTGTGCACACACACTGATGGCACTGACCCTTCTCTGCCCAGTTCCCCTATACAGCTCCTAGTCGTGGCCCATAGTTCACTGCCCCCAGCCCAAAACTGGGTCTTGTCTTTTCTTCACAAACGGGTAATTTCTTTCTCTAAAAGGGATAAAGCTTTCTGCGCTGGTCACTTCCTTGGGTCTTCATTTATTTGTGATGGCCCCCAGGTACATGTAAAAAAGTTTAATAATGTGTATGTTTTCCCCTGTTGATAATGTCAGGGTAGTTCTCAGGCCCAGCAGAGAACCTAAGAGAGTAGAGGAAGGGATTTCCCTCCCCTGCACCTCAATCATACTAACACCACCACTCAGGCTATGAGATCAACAATCAGCTCACTGGCACTTCAGCTTTAATCATGAGCTCCCCATACATCTGCACAGGTTTTAAAACCTTCAAAGGACTTTCCTGTTCTGCCAGTCTTCACAACAGCCCTGTTGGGTGCTATTATTCTAACTCAGACAATCAGGCAGTTTGGGTGACTCAGCCAAGGTCACACAGCACTTAACCAGTTTCTGGCTGCAAGGCAGGGGCACCTACCTCTTTTGCAACAAGCTGCCTTTTTGTCCACTGACTTCACCAGGATCAAAAAAGCAACATCTGCATTCTTAATCCCTCTGGTTTCCCATGATCTGTAGCTTGAAAGTCCTACTGATAGGACGGATTTGGACAGAAGCCTTAGCTGTTTTCTGGTGGGGACTGGAGACAGGCCCTCCAGCTGACTGGTAGTCTTTAGGCAGAAGAGAACAGACGGAGGAGGTGACTGGTGCCTTGTTGGAATCCTAACAGGAGAGGAGAGGGGAGGAAAGCACCCAGTGACGGGGTAGACCCTGACGTGAAGTGCAGAGAGGGCAAAGGTGAGCAGGAAGGAGAAATGCCGAAGGCCAGGAGCCGCTGGATGAGGGCAAGAGAGAGCAGAAATGAGGAGAGTATGGAATGAGGAAGTGGAGAAGAAAGGGGGAGAGGAAGAGGAGGGACAGAACGAGACAGAAAGAGAGAGGGGTGGAGAAAGGTAGAGCTTTCTCTGGAGAAATGCAGGCCTTTTCACCCCCAGCCTCCGGAATCAGAGTTGGTCTCCCTTGCGCATTTAGCGTAGTCCCAGCACCCAGCTCTCCCTAGGGCTAGTGACACCCCCTCTTCAGGGCATCAGAAGCCCCTGCTGGGAGCTGCTCTTTCCTACTGTTGCTGTTGCAGCCACGTCTCATCCTCTGGGCAGAGGCAGAGCACCCCACCCACTGTGGGGCTGCTCCAGGGACCCCTTTTCTCCCACAGATGCCACCTCAACTCTTGTCAAATAGAGTCCCCCTTCCCAGACTGCCCACAGTCACACCACTGACAATGCCTCCAAAGCAAGCCCTGCCAGATTCACCTCCGCCACATCTGGGCTGAGCCCAGGGCTGGCCCACAGGAGATCCTGGTGTAGGTTTGCTTAAGGCTGGAGGGAGACAAGGAGGCAGGGACGCCCACAGAACACATGTCAAGACAGGGACTCAGGAGCCCAGAATATGTTTAAAAATCGAGACAGCCTCAGCCCAGGGACATGGCCATTCCCATTTGTCCCTCTTTCCAAAGCCTAAGGGTGAGGTGTGGCATCTTGTTGGAGGAGAGATTGTCACCCATGGGCTTCTTTGTTGGCAACACCCAAACTGCAGAAGTCTCTAAGTTGAACAGGAGAGCAGAGAGAGCCCCAGGAGAAAGGGGCTCCTGGGCCGTGCGATACCTGTACTGAACAGCAAGGCCCAGGTGAAGGTGCTGGACAGCCTCATCTGAGCAGCCCTGGAACCAGCCTCAGAAGTGAGGTTGACTCTGGAGGCCTGGGGCTATATAGAGGCAGTTCCTGAAATCTGATCTCCTTGCCTCCCTCTGCAGCCAAGGCCAGCACAGCTATAGGAGCTGAGGGAGCTGAGGGAGCTGTAGGAGCTGAGGGAGCTGTGGGAGCTGAGGGAGCTGAGGGAGCTGAGGGAGCTGAGGGAGCTGAGGGAGCTGTGGGAACTGAGGGAGCTGAGGGAGCTGTGGGAACTGAGGGAGCTGAGGGAGCTGTGGGAACTGAGGGAGCTGTAGGAGCTGAGGGAGCTGTGGGAACTGAGGGAGCTGAGGGGGCTACAGGAGCTGAGGGAGCTGAGGGAGCTACAGGAACTGCAGGAGCTGAAGGAGCTGCAGGAGCTGAAGGAGCCACAGGATCCAGTAGGTTCTATAGAAGGAAATGTGTCTGCCTCTAATTACCTCTTATCCTTCTCAGCCTCTTTCTGTGTCCTGTCTCACCTAGAGAGAGAAATAATAGCCACCTTCTCCTTTTCACCTCCTCTTCCAGTGGTCCTGGATGACAAGTGGTAAGCTGGCCACAGGCAAACAGGACCTGCTGTTTGGGGAGCCCTCCTGCCTGGGTTAACTTATAGCACTTTCACTTCTGTTAACTTGCACAAGCCCCATAATGCCTTGGACAGGTGAGTGACCGAGACTCAGAGAAATCAAGAGACTTGCCCAAAGTCACTAGGTGGCCGTGGCAGAACCAGACTGACCTCCTAACTGTCCAGTCTCTCTAAGAGCCCTCTCTGCGTCACTCAGGGCAAAGGCACATGAACAGACCGTCAGTCTGCTCCAGGTGTGGCTCGGCATTGGTGGAACAGCTGCAGGGCAGATCAGCCTGTGCGTGGGGATGTCCACATGGATGACATGTGTACGCATATCTACATTTATGCTATATCTATCATACCAAGACCATATGGCTTCATCCCAGGGCAGAGTCACAGTTACAAGAACCCAGTGGAAGCCCCTAAGGAAGACAGTCTGGCAGTTTCTCAATGGGTTACACAGCAGTTACCATATGGCCCAGCAATTCCACTAGGTATATACCCAAGGAAATAAAAACATATCCACACTGACACTTGTTCATGAATGTTCACAGCAGCCTTACTCATGATAGCCAAAAAGTAGAAACAACCCAAATGTCCACCCACTGATGAATGGATAAATAAAACATAGTCTATACGTACAAAGGAAGTCACTCGGCATGAAAAGGACGGTGGCCCAGTTGCCTACCAAGGAGCCTTAACAATATACTCACCAACCTGGAAAACATCTGTGTCAATTTCCCTGAAATAAGAACAAGTTTGGATTTTGCCAAATCTTTTAACACAGCTTGCTGATCAAATACGCTAGAAATAACACTTAACATTCATTTCTCCAGCATCCAGTGGGGTTGGCCTCTTTTCATATGTTCCTAGTCCAACTGCAGCTCTTTTGGGAAATGCCTGTTCATATCTTTTGGCTAATTTTCTGTTGCTATTCCTATTGCATTGCTTATCTTTTCTTACAGATTGTGGAAACTTCCTGTCCTTTCCACCCCGTGTCTTTCTTTACAGAGAACTGTAATGGGTTCGCAATGCGAAGAGGCATCCTACCTGAGTAGAACACAGGGAAGCTGCCGTGAACCATGGGGTCCCGCAGAGCTCGCCTAGCTGATGGTGGAGGAGAAAGTAAAATGGGGGAGACCCCAGTGCTAACTCTACGTTAAGGGTAATGCTCCCTGGTTGTTACTCATATAACATGCAATATTCCTCACGGTTGTCCTTCGAATTAGAATGTCCCTCTGGTAAACTGTCCCCACATACCCTTTACAAGTACCCTGCTCTCAAGATACGACCTGCGCCTGGTCTGCAGAGAGCCCAGAGGAGGTCCCAGCTGGATGCAAACGCCCAGGTGGAGCAAACGCAGGGACCACAGAGAGAAGGCAGGACTTCATCTTATGTCTCGGCCCAAGGATCCCGCCATCAGCTCCAAGGGGTCAGGCCCGCCGTCCTGCCTCAGCGTGTCCAAGCACGGCTGTGCTGCCTGGGGAGAAAAGAAGGCACAGTCCCTTTTCTGGGGGACACTCAGGAATGAAGTCTTAGGGACCTAATGTCACAATGTCCTCTGGAAGAAAAATGTAGGTTGACAGTGGCTTTTGAGGATTTGTGTCCTTCAGAACTTTGTCCCCAAAGGTGGCACTAGTTTTTGAGTGACCATAAAGGCACCTGTTTTTCTCCCCTTCGTAAGTTCCTTCCTCGGGGACTGCTCCACTGCAGAACTTTCTTCTCCTCCTCCAGACATTGAGCAGTTTTCTTGCCTTGTTCACAGACCCCTGACCAACTGCATCCACCTCAGCAGAACTTTCCAACTACTATCTTTCTGTTTTTTCCTGTGGTCAACCGTCATCTCCCTCCCAGCCGCCAGGCTCTTACTTCATAAACATGAGTTCAAGGGTCCTTTGGGCACTTTGTAAGTTGCCTCGTCAGCATGGATTCCCTTTTGTTGACAGAGAACCATAGTGTTATCCAGATTTCTATTCCCACCCTGTGTGTCCCCTGGAGCTTGGGAGAAGCTGACCCCAGACCCAGCTCTCAGACGTGGCCTCAGTCATGGAGGAGGGGACATGAATGTCACAAGGAGGCTCACCCTCCTTGTCAGTGACTGGTGCAGGAATGATGCTGTGACCCAAACGGGCCAGTGAGAGAAAGAACAGCTCTGACCACAGAGGGAGATGGGAGATGGCTGCTCTCCATGTGCTGCCAACGGAGAGTGAGGCAACTCACAGGGATGCAGAGCAAGAGATGGCGGGGACACCAATCCAGAGCCACTGCTGAGGTCAGCCCTGATCCCTCCACACCTCCAACTAAAGGGGTCAACACTGGCCTCGTTGTTTAAGGCAATCAGAGATGGGGTTTCTGTCACATAAAGCTGAAAACATCCTCACCCCTACAGGTCCCCTGAATCCCAGAAAAGAAGATGCCTGCCCCTCAGGGTGTCTTAGAAGCACGAGAACAGTCTATCTTCTGTTAGAACCCAGCTGAGCGGACCTGCTCCCGCTCTTCCCTTTCGGAGACCCCGACAGCTCGGGCAGGTTGTCACTAGAAACCTTTCCAGGGCCCCTGGGCAAGTGTCATCTGCAGCTTCTCAGAGGACCTGGTTATACACGCATATCTGCTACTTCCGTTTAGTGCTTCCTCAAAATCTCCAAAAGCCTGTCAAAGCTGTCTGAAAATAAACCCGAAAAATATTAGGAAAATCAGAAGGAAATATGCAAAATATATACTTGAAAAACACCCATGCTGAAGGTTTACATGAAACAACTCTTACTGATCCAAACTCTATTAACTGCACTCTCAAAAACCAAATCACAGAACTGGTGACACCAGAGAAGCCGTGACTGCACGTTGCTACCTTCAGCTGCGATCTCATATTCTCACTGCGACAGGGAACCGCGTACCATTCTGAGTAATTTTCTCTCATCTTTGGTACAAACCCAGATTTATCAAGTGAAAAGTCCCAGAAGGTACAAAGGACTTTATTTTCAGTGAAAATATCCAAATTCCTGTGTGGATTAATTGGCACTCATGTTGCACCTCTCTTTTTCTTTTGTGTTCTGGGGTAATAGCTACCAGGGAGATTCTGCACAAAAGATTTAAGATCCATAAAAATATCCTAATGCATCATTGAATTTCACTCCATTCCCATTAGACCCACTACTCACCATTGGGTAAGTGCTATTCCTGGCGGGCAGTGTCGCTTTTAGCATCGAGGCAGCCATTACCTTGAAATCCTTTCAATCTCAGCTTTTTGTGTGTGTGTGTGAGGAAAATTGGCCCTGAGTTAACATCTGTTACTACTCTTCCTCCTTTTGCTTGAGGAAGATTGTTCCTGAGCCAACATCTGTGCCAATCTTCCTCTATATTCTATCTGGGATGCCGCCACAGCATGGCCGATGAGCTGTGTGTAGCTCCATGCGCAGGATCTGAACCTGCAAACCCCAGGCTGCTGAGTCGCAGCCTCTGAACTTAACCACTATATTACTGGGCCGGCCCCTCAATGTCAGCTTTTGACAATTCATCTCGTCCCTCCTGTCAGGGGTTGTTTCAGCCATTTTTGAAAGGGAGGGTACGAGATATTCTTTCCTGCTTAGAGGAGAGGTTTTTCCATTTAAATTTGAAACACAGTCAAAGAAGGGGACGACTGTTTTTAAAGATTTGTAAGGCATTCCTGGTTTCAAAACCACGGTGGTATTCAAGGGCAGCTAATGTGAGCGGGGGCAATATGTTAGCTAATTATGTTTTCATCTCAATGAGTACCAGCTTCATAACCATCAAAAGACAAACATTAAACCCTAGAAAGGATTCCTCCAATAGCTAAAGGAAGGAAGGAAACATACACCTGTTTCCACACTGCCCCTACACCCAGCTGACTGCGCACACACGTGTCGGGCTACAGAATTCTCATTACGATTCTCAAGGTTTGCACAACTCAAGACTGTGTTCCAACTGAACAACTTATAGAAAGCATTTCTCATATGAGCCTTCCTTAAAACACTTATTTGGGTCGATGTGAAGCATTTCAAAATTCCCTCCAGGATTAGAGTATACTGTAACACTTGTGCGCTCACTGTGCCGTTTGTCAGGTCTTCACGTCATGGTGGATTTGCTTCAGAGCTTTTTAAAAATAGAAGTAAAATACCACGGATTCAAGTAAAGCTTCCTGCCTACCGCTCCCCACAGCTGTCCTATACCAGGAATTCCGTTTTTATGATGCCTACGCAACTGTCCAAACTTTCCTGGATACTGATGTGTCCATGTACTTTCTAGAGTATTGTGTCCCTGGTTTTAAAGTTTATGGAATGGTTTCACCTGGCAAATTGTTGGAGGGATTTTTTGCTCAATATTATTTGTTTTGATATTTGTCCATGTTGCCAGAAATAGCTCCATGTTATTTAATGACCGTAAAGCATTTCACTGCAGGAAAAGTCTAAAACTTATTTATGCCTTTTCCTGTTGA